AAACGGCTGGAGTCTGGATCCAACTCAAGCATCATAATGGCCCCTTAACAATGTTTCCAAGGAGCTGCTGTGAACTGAACTGGCTGATCAGACATTGGCCATATGTGTCATTATGCAAAGGCATAACATTATGTTTAGCTCCTCTCTGTAATGTTGGCCTTAGCAGGGTGAGGAACAAGTATTGACACTGATGCAATACTATCTATGTAGCATTGAAAACGAACTATAGAACAAGATTAAGAAACAGGAAATACAGTGTCAAATGAAATTACATTGGGTGCATGCATAGGCCCCTTATGCAATAGACCATTTATAATACCTCAAAATAAACTCTAATTATAGGTTAATGGACATACACAAATCTTTGATCAATTCATCTTCACAAATAAATGGCAGGCTAAATATGAACAAATAAATACTGTTTAAGAACCATTTGGAACTGTCATGTTAATCAAATAATATCTTACCTCATCTGCATTTTCAGTTCCTGTGTCTTTCCCACTAGTGGCATTACTGTTTTTAGTGCTACTTTTGGCAGATTTGGTTGGTTCCTGTGAATGACAACAAGCCATAGTTATCTTACTGTATTCATAAAGAAGAACAAAATTGATATGGGACCATACACAACTCACATCTTCTGGTCTATGGAGTAATTGTACACTGCACAGAGATGTAATTTATGTGGTTAAATGGCCCTGATTACCGAAAGGGCACGCCAAAAGGAGGTCGGAGGGCCCCAGATAGCATATGAACACCTCATAAGCAATCACAGAGGTATGTGCCCTGGGGCCCCAAATGCTGTAGTTCGGCCCTGGGTAGCAATGGCCTTATTTGCTTTACCTTCAAAAACAGTTAGAATGCATTCTTGTGGCAATGACTGTTGCATTTGTAAGACAGACTGTATAGCAATAGACTTGAAATTCCCCTTAAGAGGAAAAAACAGCAATTACTATCCCCTCAAGCAACGACTAAACACAAGCGCGAGACGATATTGAAACATTGTAGCAAGCTATTTCACATATTGTAACAAGACAAGAGTGCATTCTCTTATGAAGAACGAGACATTGAACTTGTAGCTATCAACTTGAAGATAATCTTGTGTTTATGTGACTAATGTAGTCTAACCAAATGCATGCAAGCTTATAGCTGTCAACTTACTATCAGAGATCAGGCTCACACTAGTGCATGCTTGCAGTTCATATTCTGACAACACATTCAGATAAAAATACGACTATGCCATTACTAAAAATAAACATTATTTTACGAAAAAAATGATTTGAGAATATTAATTATTTAAAAGTTAAAATGCATTGTTGCTGTATGCCTAGGCTAGTCTATCGGTATCACATCCATTAAACCATTTTTTAAAGAATGTAATATTCAGGGTAATGTAAACAAGTTGATAAGATTACATTTGAATATGTTGTTGGCTACTGATGGCATTTGCGCGGTCTGGAAAATTATCTGCTCTGCTAGGCCTTACGATAATAATACAAAATCTAGTTGGCGAATTAAAATACAATCACGAGATACGGTCAGCTTTCCTCTGAATATTTGGCAACAATATTTGGATTGTTACCATTATGTTGCGATCATTACGTTACCTTTTCCTTTTTAGTTTTATTCGGCATTTTGTGGCTGTTGGTGTTTTTCACCGTGACTCCGCGACAGACTTCGCCGGGACTCGATCGCTGCCACTCGGTTACCTTCAGCTCCCTGCGCCCTTCTAGGCCAAGAAAAAGACCATTGGCCAGTCACACGTTATACTGCCTAGTGACGGGCCACTGTAATTATTACATTGGGTGGTTATAGGATGGGCGGATTGCACTCCCTGTCAAGGGGTTTCCACTAGAATGCTAGATAACAGAGTCACAAAATCAGATTCCACAGCCACAAAGTCAAAATGGGATTTTTAATTTAAGGTTAGGGTTAGGCATAAGGTTAGCAGTGTGGTTAAAGTTCGGGTTAAGATCACATTTTTAAAATATGAATTGTAGAAATGGGCGGGGTTTAGCCATAATTATGAATGTGGCTGTGCTAACTAGTGACGACCCCGTCTAGGGTGGAGGTAAAGACAGCACAGTTTGGTGGAGTTGCTGAAATTATGTACTTATTACCTAGCAACAATTCATGAATGAATCCCTACCTAGGCTTATAACCTACATCAACATAATTAGGGCAAAATTGTGAATTAATTGAAAACAATCGCGTACACTTTATAATATGTCTATGTTTATCTATTCACTGACAATACATTGCATTTTTATTCAATCTAGTGCAATAATTGACCCCGTCCACGCCACTTACCACCAGTGGTTTTGATTGCAGTGCGACGCTATTGTTATATGGGCAGACAGAACATTGCACAAAGAAACAGTCATCACCAGACCTGGCTTTCAACGGGTGCAGAATAGCACTATGCCCACACTAACTGTCAGATTGTTATCACTGGCAAGTGGCCAAAGAATATAGCAACCTCCCTGAATCCTCAGCTTAAAAATATCAGGAAACATTGTTCAGAAATACAGCAATAGGAAGACTAGCTATATAGTTAACAGTAAACTACAGTATAACGGAGATGCAGCCCTTACATTGAGCCACCTTTGCCGTGACCATGCATGGTCCTATCTTTGGCATGTATGCTACAGCTGAGCACATTGATGCAGTGCTTGTCACATATGCAGGCAGCTCTGTAACAGAAATTGATCCATACTAGTTTCAGTTCATAATCTAAAAAATATTGTGTTCCGAAATGGAGGATTAAAGATATGATTATCTAATACCTTTATTCTAAACAATATTGGAAGATTTGGGGTTTACCAAAGTAACCCCATACTGTAAAGTGAGAAGTTTGACATGCATTTAGGCAATTTGTGCACATCTGTGCAGCACACCACTGGAAATAAGCCTCACAAACAAGGTTTCAGACCTCTGGCAAGCTGTACAGCCTACAAAACTATAGCCACAATGTATGTAACCACTTACAATGCACTTTTACTTCACAAAATATCTACTGGCAAAAGGCTGTGGTCTCATGTTGTAGTGTCAATGCACTTTACCAGCACCACCTACTGGGCATGATCCATATTCCCTTAGGGGCTAAAGAGGAATCCCATCTATGTGCATGGGAAATTATGTATGCCTAACACATTTGTAAAAACATACGTTGGTAAGCATGTTATTGGCAATGATCTGCACCCTCTTTTCATACATTATCAATATGGACAATGAGCTTCCATTCAAAATAATTTATTTGGCAAATTAAATGACATTGGTTGAGCAAGGTTTTAAACAATACATAGAGTAAATAAACAAAACAGTTGAGGCCATACTCCGAAGATCTGACAGTGAGCAAAAATTCAGATATGGGATCATTGGCAATAGAGTATTACCCACAGTCAGTGAAACAGAATAGAAATAATGATTCAGTGACAGAGTAATGACTATTATGAAAGACCGAGAACAGCAATATCCTAGGATAGACTGTCCCTGGCTTAACATAGCACGTACATAAATTCCCCTCATGTATAGATTGTTTCCTTATTCTATCCACCTTCCACTGAACGTTCAGAAAGAAAATCATATCTTCATTGTTTAGTGGCCTTACCTTTTCTGAAGAGAAGACTGATCTCCCAGCAGGCATTGTCGAACATGACATTATGCAGAAACTTCAGATATGGTCTTTGCCATACCTTTGCTCTCAAGTCCAATCACTTGCTCTCAGAATTCTATAATTAATTATTACAGTAATATTGTATAACTATGAGCCAAAAGCCTTATTCATGCTGCCCTCAGCTTTGCCATACTACCTATACACAGGTAAGTGCCAAAATAAAGGAAACACCAACATAAATTGTTTTAATAGGGCGTTGGGCCACCACAAGCCGCCAGAACCGCTTCAATGCGCCTTGGCATAGATTCTACAAATGTCTGGAACTCTATTGCAGGTCAGCCTAATTGTACACACACACACAGAGACGTGTATCATTAAATTTACTTAATCAAGGACCTGATCACAATTAAAGTGAATAAATAATAAAATCAAGTTATTTAACACAAATCAAAAACATTTAGTTAATTCACACAATTAGAAAGAACACCTATGTACATACATAAATACATATAACATTGTTCAGTTCATTTCAGAATTGGCCGTTGCAGCCACTGAGGTTTTTCTTCAGAATTCCTTTCGACTGCAAGGGGCATACCATAGTGATGCTTTATGGTTACAATGTCTGATTACAAGGTCTGAGAAATAATAGAGAAAATGTTGTGGTCACTGAAATTTATTTGAACTCTACTTTAGCAACAACAGGTAAAGGACAACCAGTTTTTTATTACATTTTCACTAACTTACACAGAATAATATTGAGCATAGTACTGTCAGTGAACCAATGGAAAGTAAAAAAAAAAAATCATGAGTATCTATATCCACATCTTCTTTTCTGGAGGGTGCTGTAAAGAGTGACAGATATTACATTGTGCAATTGTCAAAGAAAGCATTGTTCAGATATCTTTTGGTCCATGCTGCACTACCTTACCAAATTCTGTTTTCTTCTTAAACGTGAGTTCTCTTGTTCCTGTATTAAAATACCTTTCAATCATTTAAAGAGAAAAGAACAAATTGCTTAAGAGTCTGAAGGTGAATATACCAAAAACCATAGTAATCAATAAACATGGTACAGTACATTACCTTTTAAGAAGTAAAGAAAGGTTTTGATGAATGAAGAAGTATAATTCTCAACACAAAAGGCTTGCAGAACAAGCTTCTAAAGTTCTGAAGAGGCATCACTTAATACAAAAGTCAAGTCTTTTAGTGGAAGTTTCACTCCATTCAAATTTGAGCTGCCTGCTAGGGCCACCAAGTTAACAGGGCTTAGTTTCCGAATCAGCAGTATTTGTGTGGGTTACTACTTGTCCCTGTCTAATGTACACCCTAATCCCATCAACTACCTAAAAACAAAATCCCCCTCCAACGGCCTGCTGTCTAGTGGAGTTTGTTACTCAAGATTAAAATCAAACAGGTCTAAACCCAGCACTTCTGTAGGGAGATCCAGGGTCTCTGTTGAGAAACCCAAAGTATCTGATGGGTTATCCAGTTGTACGGGAGCATCCTCAGGAGTCTCTTCCTTGGGCTGCGGGTCAGACCCAATCTCAGTCTCCATTGACTCCTGAGTATCGGTTTCAACTGTGTTACTGTTGTCAAGAGCTGGGAGCTCGGGTTGGGTTTGTGGCGTTTGTGGGGCCGTAGCCTCCAAGGCTTCGCTGTTCTTTGAGTCATTCGGTGCAGCTTTGGACTCTACGACTGCTTTAGTGGCCTGCGGGTCAAACCCACTCTCAGTCTCTATTGACTCCTGATTGTTGGTTTCAACTGTGTTACTGTTGTCAAGAGCTGGGAGCTCGGGTTGGGTTTGCTCCATTTGTGAGGCCGTAGTCTCCAAGGCTTCGCTGTTCTTTGATTCATTCGGTGCAGCTTTGGACTCTACGACTGCTTTAGTGGCCTGCGGGTCAAACCCACTCTCAGTCTCTATTGACTCCTGATTGTTGGTTTCAACCGTGTTACTGTTGTCAAGAGCTGGAAGCTCGGGTTGGGTTTGCTCTGTTTGTGGGGCCGTAGTCTCCAAGGCTTCGCTGTTCTTTGAATCATTTGTTGCAGCTTTGGACTCTACGACCGCTTTAGTGGCCGTGGCAGTGCTGGTGATGGATGTGGTACTGGCTGTGGTACTGCTGCTATAAAATATGTCAAATAAATCTTGGGCTTTTGCGGCAGCTAGATTAGACTTGGGCTTTTCTGATTTGTTCATCACCTCACTTGGGGGTCTCTGCATGAAAGGAGGGGGTGTGACCATCACAGGGACATTCTGCTCACTCTCAGGGACTCCTGGTGCAGATACATCAGACTTCATGGTCATCATGGTCAGGGGAGGCAGGGGAGTCTTGAACTCGGGCATCACTGCTGAAGGAGTGGATGTGGGGGCTTGACTAAAATACTCTGTTGTGGAAGCTTTCTTTTCGTCTGGTGTAGAAGTGGGATCTGGCTTCTCGGTACCATCTTCTGACTTTTTCAAATCTACTTCCTCACCACAGAACGCCTTGGAAATTATGTCTGCTGCCAGTACCGGGTCCTTTTTAGGCTGGTTCTGTATGACAGGAAGAGGAGTCACTCCACTGGCACCGGGTGGTCTGATAGAGAGGAAGGTGTTGAGAGGGGCCGGTTTAGCATATACCCAGGGCCCAAGTCCAGAGGGCTTTCTCAGGACCATGGAAGGAGCAGGGAGGTTTGGGCGTATTTTCCCGGAGTTGAAGGGTACCCATGCATTAGTTGGGGAGATGACCGTCTTCCCCGACAGTTTGATAGCAATGTTCTTGGCTGCAGCCAAGGACTTTGAAAATGCATCTGGGTCGTCATCCTCTTCAACCTCATCTTCCTTCAGGAACTCAGCAGCCACTCTCTCTGCCTCCTTCGCAAGCTCATTCTCTTGTTTTTTTTTCCAGCTGAACTTACCGAAGGTAGATGGAGCCTTTGGCTCCACTTTGGCAGTTTCCTCACTTTTCTTGCGCAGCTTTGCTCTCAATGCTGGATTAGGCCCACAGAACACTTTTGGAGGCTCACTGGGCTTCTCAGGCTCAGACTGCTTTCTAGATCCTGACTTTTCCTCCCTTTGACACCCACCCTTCTCTTTCCTTGATTGTCTTTCCTCCTTTTCATTCTTAGGTTTCCCTTCCTCCCTCTCTGATCTATACCTCTCCTCCTCTTTCTTGCTGCATTTGGGATTGGGCTCTTTCCACTTACCATATCTGGACCGCTCTTCCTCTTCCTCCTGCTCATCATCCCTCCAACTAAACATGGGTCTCTCCTCTACCCTGCTAAACCTAGGCCTGTCTTCATCCTCTCTACGGTTTTTGAGCCGCTCTTCCTCTTCCCTGCGATTTCTGAACCGCTCCTCCTCATTGCCATGCTTGTATCGCTCCTCCTCCTCCTTCTTACTGTACTTGGGCCTCTCTCCTCCCTCCTTGCCATGTTTGTATCTCTCCTCCTCCTCTCTCTTGCGGTACAAATACCTCTCTTCTTCCTCCTTTTTGCTGTACTTGGCCCTCTCCACCTCATCCTCCCTCTTGCTATATTTTAACTTCTCCTCCTCTTCCTTTTTGCTGTGCTTAGCCTTCTCTTCTTCCTCCTTCTTGTGTTTGGACTTCTCCTCCTCCTTTTCCTTGTCCTTTTTGCTGCGTTTAGGTTTCCCTTCCTCCTTCTCTTTGCTCTTTTTGGACTCTTCCTCTTCGTGTTTACGTTTAAGCTCAGAGTGCTTTTTGTCACTAACTTCCAACGTGAGTCCAGCCTGACGATCCAGGTTCCTTCTCTGTTCGTAGAGTGGATACTCATACATTCGTTTCTGGCAGAAGGACCAAACAAATATGCAAGTCATTAGAGTGAAATGTAAACTAACTGTCCCAAAATTTGACTTAAAGGGAACATTTCACCCAAAAACACATTTGTTTCCTTACCTTGTAAGCAGTTTATGGACAAAGACAGAGTGCAATATATGATTTGAGTTTATCTAGCCATTGACACCAAACACTAACATTAGCATTTTCAAATCAAAAACAATTGTAAGCCAATGTAACCAATATTAGCATGTTTTCAATGTCATGCCCAAAATTCTCTCAACTTCAAACCAAGTCATTGAACAACACAATCTAGAGACTTTGGGAGACTTTTAGAAAATGCCTAAGTTAGCGGTTTGTGACAGTGGCTAGGTGAACAAACAAAACTTGGTTTGCAGATTACTTGAGGAAACAAATATATAATTTTGTAATTATATAGGTGAACTATGGCTGTGTTTGAATACCCATACTAACATACTGTATACTAGATACTTAAGGAGTATATACTACATACTATTAGTTCATTTTCGTATACTTGTAAATGAACGGTATCCTTTCAGTTGAGCGTACTAGCGCTTCGCCTGTCTACCGGAAGTTGATGCTGTTGCTATGCAACTTCTTGCTAGCTTGTTAGCATAGCTAACAAATTACTAGCTAGACATCTTACGACTTCATTAACAATGTCCATTGAGAACGCTCAACGACTATACCACTTAGCTAAGAATGGCGTAAATAATCAAATCAATAAACGTTGGGTAGTTAGATAGCATATAGTTAATATACTGGCAAGTTCGATGTATTAGTCGCCAACTAACGTTAGTTAGGTAGCTAGCTAACATACAAGCAACTGCTGTAATGATATGCCGTGTGGTCGTAAGGCTAGCGTAGCTAACAAATTGTCAGCCAACATAACGTGTAACGTAACTTATTTGAAAAGTAATTACTTTATCACATTGCTCAACATTTTCTTAACATTTGTCATAATTAGTTAAAGTAATGAATTTGTATCCACTCTGGTCAGACATTTTTTCCGCCATTTCTTTTCAAATCTGAAAATGTTGCTCGAGCCTGCCTGGAGTGCCAAAAGGGCAAGATTTGTGGGACTATTTTGTTATTTCCATTGCACCAGAAAGCTCAATCAAGCACATTTTACATATTATTTCAGATACCATTTGTACATATGTCTGCAAAGTAGAGAATAAAAGACTACTGTGTGCACAAAGCAATGACAACAAATTCAGTAGTAGTGTTCAAGACATAACTTGAGGACAATGCATGACAAAAGCATTCTCCAAACAAAGCCTTAGGGTACTTTTGATCAGGATCCTGGAGCATTTGGTACCCTGATGTTTGAAACACAAACTAACCTTTGCTGAAATGAATCCTGGACCTACGTGAGTAGTAGGTCGAAGATCCAGGACCAGAGTGCCAGGTATTGTGACACAGCAGCACGATTTGCATGGCACTTTTTACCCGTTGTAAACAAGCTAGCTTGCTAACATCATGTAGAATGTGCGTCTTGCAAATCGCACCCTGAAACAGTTATTTTAAAATCTTGTGAAAGCAAAACATTTTGTAGAACTCTCCCAAACGCTCCAGGAATCCAAACCAGAGTACCGAATTTCAGATGAAAACGCCCTTAATGTAGTCATGGTGAAATAATTCCCAACTAGTAATGGCCTAACCTTGTATTTCTCATTGTGAGATTGACCCGTGGCATGATCTTCAGCGCAAATCGCATCCCCGCAAAACTCCTCGCACAGCTGGCAATAATATCCCCTCACTGGCACCAAAAACTCAGATCCTATAAGAGAAAAAGAGAGACGTTTTTAAAAACACCTAATGGCCACATGGAACAATCACTGATTTTTACCTTTACTGTGCTCTCCATGGAAGAAAACCTGTTGTAAAAGTAGATAGTCATTACATTTAGGTCCATTCCAGTAAACATACATAAGCACATAACATCAACATATATACCATATCATAAGTATTCACCCCCCTTGGAAGTTTTCAAAATAAATTACATTACAAAGTGGGATTGAAATGGATTTAATTGTGATTTTTATGTCATTCATCTAGACAAAATACTCCTTAGTCAAAGTGAAAAGAAAATTCTACAAATGCTTACAAATGAATAACAAAAATAGTCATTGCATAAGTATTCACCCCCTTGGTTTAGGAAAGCCTACATTAGTTAATGAGTAAAATTTGCCTTACAAATCACATAAGTTGCATGGACTCACTGTGTGTAAAATAGGGATTGACATGATTTTTGAATGACTACCCCTTTCCTCTGTCCCCCATACATACATCTGTAAGTTCCCTCAGTCAAGCATCGAATTTTAAGCACAGATTCAACTACAAAGACCAGGGAGCTTTTCGAATGCCTCATAAAGGGCAGTGATTGGTAGATGGGTAACAATAACAAAATCAGACACTGAATATCTCTTTAATAATTATGCTGTGGATGATGTACCAAACCACCCAGACACAACAAAGACAGTCATCCTTCTGAATTGGGCTGCAGGACAGGAAGGAAACTGCTCAGGGATGTCACCATGAGGCCATTGGTGATTTTAAAACAGCTACAGAGAGTTCAATGGTTGTGATGGGAGAAAACTGAGGACGGATCAACAACATTGCAGTGACTCCACAATAATGACCTAAATGACAGAGTGAAAAGAACAATATAAATATACAGAATAAAAATATTCCAAAACATGCATCCTGTATGCAACAAGGCACTAAAGTTATAGTGCAAGAAAACACAGCAAAGGAATACACTTTTTGGCCCAAATGCAAAGCGTTATGTTTTGGCCAAATCCAACACATCACTGAGTAACTGCCTGGTTATTTTCAAGCATAGTGGTGGCCGCATCATGGTATGGGTATGCTTGACATCAGCAAAGACTGGGGAGTTTTTCAGGATAAAAAGAAACAGGATGGAGCTAAGCACAGGCAAAATCCTAGAGGAAAACCTGATTCAGGCTGCTTTCCACCAGACACTGGGAGATGAGACAATAACCTACAATACAAGGCCAAATCTACACTGGAGTTGCTTACCAAGAAGACAGTGGATGTTCCTGAGTGGCCAAGTTAGTTGACTTAAATATACTTTAAAATGTATGGCAAGACTTGAAAATTGATGTATAGCCATGACCCCGAACACCTTGACAGAGTTTGAAGAATTTTGAAAAGAATAATGGGCAAATATTGCACAATCCAGGTGTGCAAAGCTCTTAAAGACTTACCCAAGAAGACTCACAGCTGTAATCGCTGCCAAAGGTGTTTCTAACATGTATTGACTCAAGAGGGTGAATACTTATCTAATCAAGGTATATTAGCATTACATTTTCATACATTAAAAAAATAAAATTATTTTGACATTGACTAAATGTATTTTTTGTAGATCGTTGACAAAAAAAAAATACAAATCCATTTTAATTCCACTTTGTAGCACAAAATGTGAAGAAATCCAAGTGGGTGCATACGTATGATACTCACTGTAGACATTTGTAATTGACTAAAGGTTGCCCAAAATATGATCCCCTTTACATTGCATATAAAAATCAATTTTTATTTCTTACTTCTTATGCATATTTTATATTCAATGTCTGCAAACTGTGCAGTAAACGATTGCTAACATTTAACAGTACATAATAAATATTTCGAAAAGGGGAAAAATACAAAACAGAAATTTAAGTTTGTACCTTTAGCAGGTTTAGTCATTTTCTCTCCTGAAGAGTGAATCTTATTCTTCTCATTGTTGGAGGAACTTGAAGCCCACGGTCGATTGTAAGGATCCTGAGTCTGCAAAGTGGCAAAACAAAAAAATGCATAACCAATCTGCTGTAAAAATACAAGGGACTGAACAGTTCAAATGAAAAAAATGTACGTTGGAAAAGGTAAAGGAAATCAGACCAGTGATGGGGGGACAAAGAACGGGAACAGGAGACAGCACTCATGATAGTAAACAAAAGCTCTTCAATTCACTGAGTATGACTTAATATCCAAGAAGGGTACAGCTGCAGCCGATCAGTCCTGAGCTCTGTGCTCAAGAGATCCTTGCCAAGAACAGCCAATAGGCTTTCAGCATCACATTCAGGAGTCTGCTGCATTCCTTTTCAAGGTAGCTAACTAACTAGCTAGCTGACTTCATAGGTAACAGAGCCTGTAAAGAGATGAGTCCATCTGAGTGTTTATTAGAAAGCAATTTAAATATAAAGTTACATGTAAACTCGACTAGCTATCTATCATACCTTCACCAAACCATTCACACTATGCTAGCTAATAATGTATTATAAAAACGGTAGTTCTGGCCATGCAATCTTATTGTTCATCTTGCGCTCCAGCCATGCTGGTAACTGCAAGAACAGCACGGCTACCTGACCACTTTCACTCGCAAAATGTATTAATAAGACTTCTACATTCAGCAACACTGTAGCTAGCTTACGCGTTTGTTTACTGAGTAGCTTAGCAAGGACGGTTTGGTTGTTCTCTGTAGTCTGTACCGTATGTGACTGGTTCTACAGCAGAACTCCTGAGCACGGAACTGCTGAAGCTGGAGTCTTATTGGAACATTATACAAATAGTACACAAACCTTTCGGTGAGATTTGCTGTGCAAGTGCGTGAAAAAATCGAACATGGAACCACAGGTGACATTGCAGCTTTTGCACCAGTGGTTCCCAGCATCATAGTATTCAAACAGGTCTGCTGGAGTCTCGGGAGGCTGGGTACTGACGGGGGCTTTCTTCTTCGGTTTTCCAGGAGAGGCTCTTGAAGACGATGATGCTGCCTAATGAAGAACAGAAGTTGCACGAGTCAGCAAAAGAGCTAAATAAGCCTAGAGGAAGCAGACAAAAAAAAATACAGAAAGACAGTGTTAAAAATTAAAACAGACGTTCAATAAAGAAAATTCTACGATGATCCCCAAACACTGAAGTTTTCAAAATGTCTTACCTTGGCGACATAGGCGATCTGTGTTCCAGCCTTGAGGGAGTTACTCGTGAGTTATCAGAGAATCCTGTTTAATGCTAATATCGGACTCATATCGTCGTATCCTTGTACGCTAATCTCCACCAATTAATGGTCAAAATCACATTTTAAGTACTGATCTGTGAGCAGAGCAAAGCAGTCGAGAGAAATAGACTCAATGAGTGCTGTTCACAGACCATGAGTGTAGAGAGGGAAAACCTCAAGTATGATATTTCAAGAGATTTACTTGTTTACCAAGTTTTCCATACTGTACACTGCTCTCTGCTCCTCTTTTTTGTATGGTCATAAGCCCAGTATACATGATCCAAGTTAAGCGCTAAGACACAGGCAATTAGAAAAATCGGGAAAATAATATATTGCTGATTTATTGGAGCACTGAACCATGTCGGGCGCCGTAGTTTAAAAACTCCATGGAGTTAGTGATAAAACCATGACGTCATATCTGAATTCCTACAAGTTTACGCGCCGTCGCCATTAAAATCCATTTGACTTTTAAGATACCACTCTGCTCTACTGTAAAGATGAAAATGTTCAATTTTGGTGTATTCTTGTCTTCAAACGATATGTTTTCCATATTCAATAACTTCTATTTAAATTGAATACCCTATGATTACGTTTTTGAACAAGAAATTATAGATGAGTGATCACCCTATTAACATGTTATTTTAATTTTTTTTTTTTTTATAAAGAATTAGAGCCAATGGAAAGGATTAAAACAGTCCACATAACTAGGATCCCTCTCTGTATGCAAAGTATTCATCCCAACTAATCTCTGATCTCCTACCTACATGTTGATTGTGAAAATGCTTTCATGAAATGACAGTTTCCAAACAACTGGGGAGAAAGATGGCCATCTTTCAATTTATGAATGTAAATACTCTAAATCCAAGCTTCTAACACAAACATCTTACCTGAGTTTGGCATCTCCAGAAACTCTTTTAGAGAAAAAGTTTGACATGGTTGTGGTCTTTCATAAACAACAAATACTGTTAACTCCTAGAAATATTGTAAAATGTAGGAAGAGACCCCTAAGCTTAATCCCAACTGTTGGCCATATGAAAGTGAACAGCTCCCACCTAGGTTGCAGGTATAAAACACATTCATTTGTAAACATGCATGAATTTGCAGACCAGTTATGAGATCAGTTGGGTCAGACATTGGCATACAAAGAGTATTAAATCGAGGAGTCAAACTCTGCCTCTTGGGCAACACCAACATATGACAGAGCACACGGTTCATCCAGGTTAGATTGAGTAGTTGCACCAACATTGATTAACCCCATATATGATGTATAAGCAGAAGGCTGAATGCCAGGTATTCAAAGTAAATACTGCTTACTGGTATTTAATGGATCAGACAAGGGCAAGTAGACATTTAAATCCAAACCAGCCCTTTAGAATAGTTATTCAGGAAGTCATTTAGACTCATTCTAAAATAAAGCAAAGGCTTCATGTGAATTTCTACAAAATAATTACGTTTCTGCAGCAATTAAGGTTTTACCAGTACTTCAGCTCTCTGGCTTGTGCCTGGAGCAGCTTACGGAATTCTACCTTAGCAGAAGCATGGGCCACAGGTGATTTCTCTCGGATGTGCGCACGCTCCTTTTTCTTCTCCTTCTCTGGAGGTGGTGGGTGTGTTGGCTGCTCAAGGTCCCTAGAAGCCCTACCCTCTCGCCGGGGCTTGTCAGTTGGTTGTAGACCGAGAATGAGAGCCACCTTGTCGAGCTCGGATCTTTTCTTCTCTGCTACCTCGTGCTCTTTGCGGAGCTCAGCAATCTGAGTCATGACCTCTTCCTGCAGCCGACTGATCTCGGACAGTAACGGGTCCTTATGGCCATCCTTTTCACGCCGCTTTTTGCGCAGAAGCTCCCCTACAAAGACAATACATGTTTTATTCAACTGTGCAAAAACAGAATGAACATTTATACATTAAAATACGAAGATCTATAGGAAAGGAATGAGATGATTGAAGTACCTTGCTGTTTCCGCAATCTCTCCAGTTCCTTCATGAGATAATCTTTCTTTTTCATGCGGATCTCTCTGTCTCGTCTCAGTTTTTCCCGTTCTTCAAGAACCTATAGAATGAAGGAGAATCATGAGAGAACTAGTGTATGGAAAGAGAACAAAACAAGCGAAAACAGTGTCAAATGACATTTGAATTGAAGTGGATAGCTGAATGCCCTACCTTTTGTTTTTGGCTTTCATTATTTCGCTCTTCTAAAACCCTCCTGTCCTTGCCATTATCTTGAGGGGCCATATTGGATGATGCTATATAGGAAGAATGTACAGAATCAGACAGGAGTTAAGTGCTGCAGTTTCATTGATCACAAGAAAATATATATATTGATGGGGAATGAACAAGTAATTAAACATTCACTTATTCTATGCCATCAGTTTATTCTCACCCTTTCGATCACCCCCCTGGTGCAACTCTGGCTGGATGACTTTAAGGTATGGTCTGTCAAAAGGCGGGACGTTCGGAAAATCTTCAATGGGAGATTGAGGCGGCATGCCCATAGATGGAGGTGGGTACATGGGCCACTGTTGGGGCATGTAAGGCCAGTTCCCATACTGCCCATAGCCAGGAGGTGGATAGTTGGGCGGTACCAGACCATGCGCCTGGGCTTGGGCGTAGGCAGGCATGGAGAGAGATGGGTGGGCGGGTGGCACTGGAGTAGTTTCAGGGGCTTGTGAAGCCTTTTGCCCCCAGCTACTGTCCTCAGTCCTCACCTCTCTGGCGCCTCGAATCTTCCCATGGGTGCTGTGCCTGTCAGATGGGGGTGACTTCTTCCGGCTCCTGCTGTCATCACGGCTGCTGCTCCGGCTCGGGCTGTGGCTACGACTGCTAGAGCTGCTCCCACTGTGGCTCCTACGCCTGCCCCTGCTCCCGTCTGAGCTTCCTGAAGAGTCACGGCAACCCCGCCTCTTGCCAAGTCGACGGGAGTTTTTTATTGGAGGGGGCCTCTTTCCATGCAGACGCTCCTGAGTCCTGGCAGCCATCTTGCTGATCTCCGTCACCCCCAGGTCCAACCCAATGGTTTTGAGGAGGTCCTGGATCTTCTCGTACTCCTCCACGTCTTGCTTCTCCTTCCCTTCCAGTGGCCCTGTTCCTGGTGGGTAGTCATTAGGCTCTTCAACCTTGATATTATGGTCAGGGGTGGCAGAGGACCTGCTTTGATGCCGATACCTCATGTCCACCTGTTGCTGACGAGAGCTTCTCGGATCGACAATACCAGGATGGCCCTCTAGGTGCGGTGAGGCGCCATAGCGTGCTGGCTCACTCATAATATCACCATAGAGCTCTGACAGACTGTGCTGACGGGGAGCTTCTGCTGGAGCTCTGCCCCGCTCTACATCATCTTCATCTCCATAAAGGAACTTCTCCTCATCGTCAATGTCTGGTACCCTCTTTTTCTCCTCCTGCGGTGCAGGTGCACCTCCCAACAGGTCAAGGATCCCTGCAATCCCACTGGGGTCCAGCCTACCCTGGGCCATGTGCGGGTCATCCCTCAGTTCCCCCAGCATGGTGGCCAACATGATAGGGTCCATGCCTTTCATAGCTGAGAGGAGACGCTCTGCCTCAGCCTCACCAGCAGGGTCAACTCTTGGCGAATTACTGTTCTGCAAAACAAAAACAAAAGAATGATTACCAAATTAATCATGAATAGTAATTTGGATAAAGAAAAGCCTTGTGGGATGACAGGGTTAGAGTGAGTATAGAGATGGGTAATACATTACACAGCTATATGCAACATAATTAATTTAACATAGTAATAAAATGACATTGTCCCCTACCTGCACATATGAGGGGGAGTCAGTCTCAGAGTCCATGCGCCTCTTCAGGATGGACTTTGTGGGAATATTCAGTATGTCTTCCATCTCTTTGCGGCGACGGGCCAACTCCAGCTCCTTGAACCCGCTCGTCTTCTTTATCTTATCATCATCTCCCCTGCTGCTCCTGCTACTGCTGGTGCTACTAGTACTGATACTGCGGCTCCTGCGTTGACCAACACTCTTTGCTCTGCTCTGTGCTCTGCTCATACTGCGGGCCCGACCATAGCTCTGGCCACGACTCCCGCTCCTGCTTCGGGACCTGCATGGCGGACGACTCTTGCTCCGCCCCCCCATTTCAGGGCTTTTGCTTCGGGCCCGGCTTTTGCTCCGTCCCCTCATTTCAGGGCTGCGACTTCGGGCCCGGCTTTTGCTCCGTCCCCTCATTTCAGGGCTGCGGCTTCGAGCACGGCTTTTGCTCCGTCCCCTCATTGCAGGACTGCGGCTTCGAGCACGGCTTTTACTCCTTCCCCCCATTGCAGGGCTGCGACTTCGAGCACGGCTTTTACTCCTTCCCCCCATTGCAGGGCTGCGACTTCGAGCACGGCTTTTACTCCTTCCCCCCATTGCAGGGCTGCGACTTCGAGCACGGCTTTTACTCCTTCCCCCCATTGCAGGGCTGCGACTTCGAGCACGGCTCTTGCTCCGTCCCCCAATTCCCGGGCTGCGACTACGAGGACGGCTTCTCCCCCTGCTGGGACTCTGCCGCCTGGGGCCACGGTCATCAGGGCCGTCATAACTGGACCTCTTTGGCAGGTAAGGAGGGTAGTCTCTTGAGGGTAGCCCTACCCCAGGTGGTCCAGTCAACTCATTGCCCACAGTGATTACCAGATTGTGGTCAGTGGGGATGCCACCACGGGGAGGAGATGGAGATCTCTAATGACAGAAATAGATTTGTAATGAATTTCCTTAAAAACTGTAATCAGTTTCATAACACTGCATTATTTTCGATTTTGAAATGATTAGACAGCATTTTGTGCAATTGAAGCATTGCTCCAGTAAAAAGGAAATACGAGCCAGTGCAAGGGAACAGACTAACTTCCAATCCCAATGTTTTTTTTTAAAATGGCACCTGCACTTGTAGCTAACGTTAGCTAGCTAGCTAACAATTTAACCAGTATCTGGGCAGAGGAGGAGAATGAATATGACGAGTCTCCTCACTAGCCCAGTGAGCTACCATTCATTTTCCCATTAGACAGCACTGCAAACGTTATGTCAAAATACGTACGTTACTATGGAGTTTTGGTGCGTAACTGATATGTACTTCCAAAAAAAGGTCTAAATAAACATTTACACGCAACCAAAAACCATTGTCTGGAAATAATCTGTCTTGTTTTTGACCAAGTCCGCATGTGCCAAATCCACCTCTTCGGCACCAATACAAATCACTCATTACTGCCATGCACAGGTCTGCACAGTATCCCGAAAGTTCATTTATTTTATTTCCTACAACCAGGCCTGCCGGAAAACGTGTGGCGAGGCGGCATTTGCCACAGCACTTTTCAATCAGGAGGCAGCGCCACACCACTTTGGCTTTATACTGAACAAAAATAAGTTCATTAGTTACCAGCCTCAGAAATTGCAGCCCAAATAAATGCTTCACAGAGTTCAAGTAACAGACACATCAACATCAACAGTTCAGAGGAGACTGTGTGAATCAGGCCTTCACGGTCAAATTTCTGCAAAGAAACCACTACTAAAGGACACCAATAATAATAAGAAGAGACTTGCTTGGGCCAAGAAACATGAGCAATGGACATTAAGCCTCTGGAAATGTGTCCTTTGGTCTGGAGTCCAAATTTGAGATTTTTTGTTCCAACCCCTGTGTCTTTGTGAGACGCGGAGTGGGTGAACGGATTATCTCTGCATGTGTATTTCCCACCATAAAGCATGGAGGAGGTGGTGTTATGGTATGGGGGTGCTTTGCTGGTGACACTGTCTGTGATTTATTTAGAATTCAAGGCGCACTTAACCAGCATGGCTACCACAGCATTCTGCAGCGATACGCCATCCCATCTGGTTTGGGCTTGGTGGGACTATCATTTGTTTTTCAACAGGACAATGACCCAACACACCTCCAGGCTGTGTAAGGGCTATTTTACCAAGAAGGAGAGGGATGGAGTGCTGCATCAGATGACCTGGCCTCCACAATCACTCGAACTCAACTAAATTGAGATGGTTTGGGATGAGTCGGACGGCAGAGTGAAGGAAAAGCAGGCAACAAGTGCTCAGCATATGTGGTTGAGAGAATGCCAAGTGTGTGCAAAGCTGTCAAAGGCAAAGGGTCGCTATTTTAAGAATATAACATATATTTTGATTTGTTTAACACTTTTTTGGTTACTACATGATTCCATATGTGTTATTTCATAGTTTTGATGTCTTCACTATTATTCTACAATGTAAAAAATAGTAAAAATAAAGAAAAACCATTTTGAACGGTAGGGTACGCTGAACAAAAATATGAGCACAACATGTTAAGTGTTGGTCCCATGTTTCATCAGCTGAAATAAAAGATTTAGGAAATGTTCCATATGCACAAAAAGCTTATTTCTTTCAAATGTTGTGCACACATTGGTTTACATCCCTGTTAGCGAGCATTTCTCCTTTACTAAGATAATCCATCCACCTGACAGGTGTGGCATATCAAGAAGCTGATTAAACAGCACGAACATTACACACGTAAACATTGTGAACGGGACAATAAATGGACACTAAAATGTGCAGTTGTCACACAACACAATGTGGTCCTCTGTAGCTCAGCTGGTAGAGCACGGCGCTTGTAACGCCAAGGTAGTGGGTTCGATCCCCGGGACCACCCATACACAAAAAAAAAAATGTATGCACGCATGACTGTAAGTCGCTTTGGATAAAAGCGTCTGCTAAATGGCATATTATTATTATTATTACAATGCCACAGATGATTTTGAGGGAGCTTGCAATTGGCATGTTGAATGCAGGAATTTCCACCAGAGCAGTTGCCAGAGAATTGAAGACCTCCACATCCGGCTTCTTCACCTGCGGGATATTCTGTCTGTAATAAAGTCCTTTTGTGGGGAAAAACGCATTCTGATTGGCTGGACCTTACCAGGCCCACTCATGGCTGCGCCCCTGCCCAGTCATGTGAAATCTACAGATTAGGGCCTAATGAATTTATTTCAATTAACTGATTTCCTTATATGAACTGTAACTCAGTAAAATTGTTGAAATTGTTTCATGTTGCATTTATATTTTTGTTCAGTATAGTTTAATAAAATACACTGAGTATACCAAACATTAGGAACAACTTCCTAATTTTGAATTACAACTCCCCCTTTGCCCTCAGAACAGCCTCAATTCGTCAGGGCATGGACTCTACAAGGTGTCGAAAGCGTTCCACAGGGATGCTGGCCCATGTTGAATCCCATGCTTCCCACAGTTGTGTCAAGTTGGCTGGACGTCCTTTGGGTGGTGGACCATTCTTAATATATACGGGAAACTGTTGATTGTGAAAAACCCAGCGGCGTTGCAGTTCTTGACACAAACCGGTGCGCCTGGCACCTACTACCATAACCCATTCAAAGGCACTTACATTTTTTGTCTTGCCCATTCACCCTCCGAATAGCACACATACACAATCCCTGTCTCAATTGTATCAAGGCTTAAAAAACCTTATTTAACCTGTCTCCTCCCCTTAATCTACACTGATTCGAGTGGATTTAACAAGTGACATCAATAAGGAATCACAGCTTTCAGCTGGATTCACCTAGTCAGTCTATGTCATGGAAAGAGCAGGTGTTCTTAATGTTTTGTATACTCAGTGTATATTGACGCAAAGCGTAAAAAAAGCGGGGCAAAGTGCTGTTTTTTGTTGATGTTTTTTAACAAATTTGTCTCATGATTTGTCAACCCGTGCACAATTTCTCTGTCCTTCACATCGGAGTGCTGCTGCAGGCACTTTGCGTGTCTTGACCAATCAGGGCCGGGCACAATGCTCAAGATGCGCGCTCCACTTTCCGCCTGTATTTATTTAGCAAGTCTGATAACACATCACTCCCGAAAGACAAGTTACAACTCGTACATAAATGTAGCAGCCTATACACCTAAATCAGTGGAGGCTGCTGAGGGGAGGACGGCTCATAATAATGGCTGGAACAGAGGGAAAATGGAGTGGCATCAAACACATAGAAACCATGTGTTTCATACCATTCCACTGATTACGCTCCAGCCATTAGCACAAGCCTGTCCTCCCCAATTAAGGTGCCACCAACCTACTGTGACCTAAACATTAGCGATCTGACACGCTGTATTGCATGGAACAAGTCTATTTTTTAGTCTGATCAACTGTAGACTACTAACAACAGCGGCTGCATAGTCTAGCCTACTATGCGGCCTGTCCCTCTGGCCAGCGTAAACGAAGCGATAATGTTGTGCATTTACAGTGCCTTTAGAAAGTATTCATACCCCTTGACTAATTCCACATTTTCTTGTGTTACTGTCTGAATTCAAAATGGATTCAACTGATTTTTTCCTCACCCATCTACACACAACACCCCATAATGACAGTGACATTTTTGCTAATTTATTGAAAATGAAATAAAAATATTGAATGTACATAAGCATTCACATCGATTTAAGTTAAAACTAACTAGGCCACTCAGGAACATTCATTGTCATCTTGGTAAGCAACTCCAGTGTAGATTTGGCCTTGCGTTTTAGGTTACTGTCCTGCTGAAAGGTGAATTAGTCTCCCAGTGTCTGTTGGAAATCAGACTGAACCAGGTTTGCCTGTGCTTAGCTCTATTCCGTTTATTTTTATCCTAAAAAACTCCCTAGTCCTTGCTCACATTTTTTGCAGTTTTACTTTAGTGCCTTATTGCAGACAGTATGCATGTTTTGGAATATTTGTATTCTGTACAGGCTTCCTTCTTTTGACTCTGTCAATTAGGTTAGTATTGTGGTGTAACTACAATGTTGTTGATCCATCCTCAGTTCTCCTATCAAAGGCATTAATAATAAATAATAATAATAAGCCATTTAGCAGACGCTTTTATCCAAAGCGACTTACAGTCATGCGTGCATACATTTTTTTTTTTGTGTATGGGTGGTCCCGGGGATCGAACCCACTACCTTGGCGTTACAAGCGCCGTGCTCTACCAGCTGAGCTACAGAGGACCACAAAATATAACTATTTTAAAGTCACCATTCCAAATCCCTGAGTGGTTTCCTTGCTCTCCGGCAACTGAGTTAGGAAGGACGCCTGCATCTTTGTAGTGGGTGTATTGATACACCATCCAAAGTGTAATTCATAACTTCACCATGCTCAAAGGGATATTCAATATCTTCTGTTTGTATTTTTACCCATCTACCAATATGTGCCCTTCTTTGCGAGGCATTGGAAAACCTCCCTGGTCTTTGTGGTTGAATCTGTGAATCAGTGACACAATCTCAATTTAATCCAGGCTGTGGATTTATTTGTTTGTTGAAAAAGTCAAGGGGTGTGAATACTTTCTGTAGGCACTGAATAGCCAATTTGTTTGTGAGAAAATATGTGAATGGGATTACATTTGGTTTATATTCAAACTTGGGTTGACTAGGCTACCTAGAGTTTTTCAATCCATCAAAATCATTAACTGGAATTAATTAAACAATAGCTGACAGACTATAAATAAATACAATTATTAGGCCTAAGGTTGCATAGGGCAGTACACCAAGCAAACCTGCATAAAGCAAGCTCAGCCCTATGAGTTTTATTGTCCAATCATGTTACTTTATCTGTGTCCGTGTATAGGAATCCCCTTAGCCCTTCTTCAAAATATCATTCATATGAACAAGTACAAGGTTGGTGCAGTTTGTCAGAGTTTTCATCCTCTCCAACGCCAGGAGTTTTTAAAAACCATGTGACCTAATTAATACAACCATGATCTGAACATAGCCCATATTAAACATTTTTAAAACAGATGAATCACATCATACCGTATAAGGTCCGGAGTTAGGTTACCAGATCAAGAAAATATATGGGCACCAGAATGTTTTTTTTTCACCACACCACTCTGGGACCTGTGGTGCCACCTCTGCCTACAACAGTGTATAATGTCATATCAACCTGTTATTTCACAAGTGTTACATGGAATGCAATATAATAACATTATATAAGAAGACGAATGAGACAATAGGGTATGTTTTACAATTATTTAAGCAGGGGTGAAAGTAGATTTAATTTCTTCCCAGTACGCAACGACCTGTGTGCACCCCAAAAAATTTTTCTCACTAATAGTCAACATAGAACATAATAGCAGCTCAATTCATAGGCCTATGCTACAAATTAAACAAATGTTTAACATATCTGGTTAGTATGCTATATAATCAGTTACATGTCAATAACATATCCTAATATTTTCAATCTGATTACAATGATAAAATCACCAATGTCTTTTAAATTTGTTTTTTATATTTCTTTGTGAGTTGATTGGGGAAAAACGGCTTGCAATCAAGAGAAAACGTCGCTCTGAAAAAGTCTCAAAAGGTGGATAATGAAAATAGAAGTTTCAGGGAAGAATGGACAGAGAATTAGGCATTCTTACCATATTTCTCCAACGTCAAACCAGAGTGCCTTGTTTGCAATGAAACGGTTGCTGTTTGCAAATAATTAAATATTAGACATCCTTATGAATCTAAGCCTGGCACTTTCAAAAGTTACCTTTTCACCCAGAGACTCGACTGACCTAGAAAAATATAAGCTTCAACTGCTGGCTACTCGTCCGTTGCTTAACCCAACAACAGAAGTGCTTCCATAAAAGCTGCCAGGGTTTAAACATCTCTTTTCAGAAATGGAAAAGCTTTTTGTCTCCTCGAATATTCAAGGCCGCAGCTGTTGTAAAACATATTTTTTTCCTCTGTAAACAAATTAACAATAAACTTTCAGCGTGCTTATAGAGAACGGCACTCAACATGTACTGCCTTGACAAATGACTGATGATTGGTTGAAATAAATTGATAAGAAGATTATGGGAGCTGTACTGTTAGATTTCAGTGTAGCCTTTGGTCCCCTGTAGCTCAGTTGGTAGAGCATGGCGCTTGCAACGCCAGGGTTGTGGGTTCGTTTCCCACGAGGGGCCAGTATGAAAAATGTATGCACTCTAACTATAAGTCGCTCTGGATAAGAGCGTCTGCTAAATGACTAAAATGTAAATGTAATACTATTGACCATAACCTGTTATTGAGAAAACTTGTGTTATGGCTTTTCAACCTCTGCCATATCATGATTCAGAGCTTTCTTTAATGGAAGCTTCTCTAATGTCAAACATGTAAAGTATGGAGTACCGCAGGGCAGCTTTGTAGGCCCTCTACTCTTCTTATTTTTACCAATGACCTGCCACTGGCATTAAACAAAGCATGTGTGTCCATGTTTGCATCAGCAACCACAGCTAATGAAGTCACTGAAATGCTTAACACAGAGTTGCAGTCTGTTTTGGAATGGGTGGTCAATAATAAACTGGTCTTGAACATCTAAAACTAAGAGCATTGTATTTGGTACAAATCATTCCCTAAGTTCTAGACCTCAGCTGAATCTGGTAATGAATGGTGTGGCTGTTGAACAAGTTGAGACTAAATTACTTGGTGTTACCTTAGATTGTAAACTGTCATGGTCAAAAAATATAGATTAAATGGTTATAAAGATGGGAGAGGTCTGTCTGTAATAAAGAGATGGGCTGCTTTTTTGACACCACACTCCAAAAAGCAAGTCCTGCAGGCTCTAGTTTTGTCTTATCTTGATTATTGTCCAGTCGTGTGGTCAAGTGCTTCAAGGATAGACCTAGTTAAGCTGCAGCTGGCCCAGAACAGAGCGGCATTTCTTGCTCTTCATTGTAATCAGAGGGCTAATATAAATACTATGCATGCCAGTCTCTCTAGGCTAAGAGTTGAGCGGAGACTGACTGCATCACTTCTTATAAGAAACAATGTGTTGAAAATCCCAAATTGTTTACATAGTCAACTTACACACAGCTCTGACACACACACTTAACCCACCAGACATGCCACCAGGGGTCTATTCACAGTCCCCAAATCCAGAACAAATTCAAGAAAGCGTACAGTATTATAAAGAGCCATTATTATATGGAACTCCATCCCATCTCATATTATTAAAATGAACAGCAAACCTGGTTTAAAAAAAATTATAAAGCAACACCTCACAGCACAACACCTCTCCCCTATTTGACCTAGATTGTTTGTGTGTATGTATTGATATGTATGCTACGTGTGCCTTTTTTAAATTGATGTAGTTCTGTCCTTGAGCTGTTGTATATTAATGTTCTGTATTGTCATGTTTCATGTTTTGTGTGGACCCCAGGAAGAGCAGCTGCTGCGTTCGCAAAACAGCTAATGGGGATCCTAAAAAAATACCAAGCTCAGCTTCAGAATGTCAGAGAGGAATCAATATATCTCCATATGCATCAGTCACTTCTTTTGTGGGCATTTTAAAGCTTGTTTCTAGTATAAGGCCCTTTTCTTTAAGAAAGGGTATGTCATACCCTCACTCAATTTGAGCCCTGGTTTTAACCAAACACCAAGCCATGCCATTCCTAGACACGGATGTATTTAAGGAGTGCATGGTGACAGCATTGGAGGATTTGGCTATAAATGACAAATCTATGGATAGCATAACTGCATCTGTCAAACAGGTAGGCCTACCTCTTTTTTTTTTTATATAGGAAGAAATAGGCTCCAACAAAGCCCTCATGTTGTTAGTGAAGTCGAATTAAAATGAAGACAATTGTTGAAATGAAAAACTTTTAGCACCATTTGCTGTCCACCTCTGATTATGCTGCAGCCGCTCCAAAGCTGATGTCTGCCCGCTTGACTTTTTGGTTGACTTTCTCCTGCACTCTCCCTCCTCATTAATAAGTATATGATTGAAAAAGTGTCTGTCTCATGACATTGTAATACATTTGGTCTCCAGTCTATGGGATACAGAAAAACCACATAGGCTACTACTCTTTCTACCGTAGGCTACATGATTTCTGTTAAAATGAATGTGATGCAGCGTTGGTGGAGCGCCACGTCTCTCCAACAGCACCCTGGAGAGGCGCACTGGGCACAGACAAGCAAATTATATTTTGCACACCTGCCTTTTATCATTGTTTTTGGGCAGAATAATGTGAGGCGTTATGCGTTGTTGGAGGTGCGTCTTGGTCAGTTTAGTTTGGAAAATGCCGCCCTCGTCAAACTGGGCAGCTACCTAATCCTGCATAATGGGCATGCCGGCCGTGGGGCCTAATCAGAGAATTATATTTAGAATCCTTATTAATTCAATAGCATCTCTGTGGGCCTAGCCATACAAATTTGAGTTTTAAAAATGTATTACCTTTTATTGTGGCATAAACCCAACCAGTCATGAAGTTTTCATTTGATTGTCAAACAATCACTTCAAAGGGCACCTTTACTAGGTTACCCGTGCACGTTCATCCACTCGCAACTTATTTTCAACCTCCAAACAGTGGTGAATGGAGAGAGACATCTGTTACACAAAACACCAAAAAGTGTAATGACATTTGGCGATTGTCATTAGGCCAGAATTAATGCCTCCACTGCTGTCTGCGCGTGTCTCGTGTGTCCGCCATTCATCTCTGCCTTGGCAAAATGTCTGTGTTCTTGTCGAACCACATTGCATTTTGGATTGTAGGGTGTCCACCCGTTTTCACATGCTAATTTTTCCTTCCTCTGACATACGGTAATTATAAATAATGGGGTAGTAGCCTATAGTTTTCTTGACATTTGTTTTCATTATTGTGATAGGCTAATGTTTTACCGGTATGGCGTACCCCCACTATTTAGTTTGCCGGGACACTGTACCGGACCGCCTTACTTTCACCTCTGTATTTAAATAGATGAAGTAGACAAGAATATGTTTTTATAGTGATCTTTCTGAAGAGGTGGATTTGGCGCATGCGCACTTGGTCAAAAACAATACTTTTTTGGGGTGCTTGTAAATTTTAATGTAGACATTTTTTGGAAGTACATACCAGGCATGATGGCAGTACATGATGAAAGTTGCTCAGCGAAACTCCATATTTGGTGAGTAAAGAACGTATTTTGACGTTATAATGCTTGCAGAACTGTCTAATGGGAAAATGAATGGTAGCAAACTGTGCTAGAGAGGAGACTTGTCATATTCATTGTCTCCTACCATGCAAAGAAGCTTATTCATTACGCCAATTCTGTTGCAAAACGTTTTGTCCGTTGCTTGATTTTTTTTCTCCAACAGAAACCGTTTACTCCAAATTAATGTTTTGTGACGAAAACGAGAGTTTCTATTGGACAATATAAAGGTAGACCCCGCCCAGTTTCCTTCAGTTTGGTTCTTAAACGATAAACTGTTTCCGTTGCAAGACGTAATGAATACACCCCAGATACTGCTTCAGCTAACAATAAACAGTGATCAAATGGTTATGCCAACTAGCCTCGTTACCCCCAACAATTATAGCTACATTTACCAATGTAATTAACTAGTGGTAGGCTGGTCAGGTAGCTAGTACAGTAAATTGCAAATAATTATTGCACTTACTTCTCTTTGGGGAGGGCCGCTGCCCCAGTATTCACCGCCTGGTCCTCTGCGACTTCCTGAACCGGCTGAAGGATACCTCCTACGCGGTGGAGAACGCCTGTACGGGTCTGGAGGTGGACCGTCATGGTAACTGTCAAACGGCGGTCTAGGCCTGCCTCTTTCTTCTCTAAACGGAGGCCGAGGATACGGCCGGCCAGGCGGGGGACCACGGCCCTCGTACGGCGGAGGATACCCTCCTCGAGGTGGAGGCCGACCACGATACATATTAATCTGTTAAATTTGACTTTCCCTATCAATTACAGACACTTACTACCGCATTGATTTTATACACATTGCCGTTTTCTATTACTTACTATCTCTCTGCAGTGGGTGATAACAACAAATTACAACTACCATGTAGCTATTTGAGTTTGTTTGACGAACGCAGCGCTCACCGTGTTGCGATTTCCGGCCTGCATGGACCAAAAACCTTGTCTTCTTCTTTCGTACATTGGCGGTCCGCCAACAAACGTGAAAGGTGCATGCCGCCACCTACTGTGCTGGAGTTTGTGGTCGACCACGGTTAGATTATACATAAAAATACAACAAAAACCTAAATCCTCCGAGTCCTACCAAATCCCATACTACTAAGAAAATAAAACAGCCATGCTAATTCCGACCATAGTCCGTAAAATAAGACACTCCTCCCCATCCCCAAAATATATACACACACACAGTGCATTCGGAAAGTTTTCAGACCCCTTGACTTTTTCCACATACCTCAGTTGGTAGAGCATGGCGTTTGCAACGCCAGGGTTGTGGGTTCGATTCCCACGGGGGGGCAGTATGAAAAAACAAACAAAAAATGTATGCACTCACTAACTGTAAGTCGCTCTTAGAGCGTCTGCTAAATGACTAAATGTTCTTTGTTGAAGCACCCTTGGCAACAGAGATGTTCGATCGGGTTCAAGTCCGGGTTCTGGCTGGGCCATTCAGAGACTTGTCCAAAGCCACTCTTGCGTTGTCTTGGCTGTGTGCTTAGGGTTGTTGTCCTGTTGGAAGGTGACCCTTCGGCCCCAGTCTGAGGTCCTGAGCGCTCTGGAGCAGGCTTTCATCAAGGATCTCTCTGTACTTTGCTCCGTTCATCTTTGCCTCGATCCTGACTAGTGTCCCAGTCCCTGCCGCTGAAAAACACCCCCACAGCATGATGCTGCCACCACCATGCTTCACCGTAGGGATGGTGCCAGGTTTTCTCCAGACGTGAGGCTTGGCATTCAGGCCAAAGAGTTCAGTCTTGGTTTCATCAGACCAGAGAATCTTGTTTCTCATGACTGATGTCTTGAGATGTTGCTTCAATATATCCACATAATTTTCCTTCCTCGTGATGCCATCTATTTTGTGAAGTGCACCAGTCCCTCCTGCAGCAAAGCACCACCACAGCATGATGCTGCCACCCCGTGCTTCACGGTTGGGATGGTGTTCTTCGGCTTGCAAGCGTCCTCCTATTTCCTCCAAACAGAACGATGGTCATTATGGCAAAACAGTTCTATTTTTGTTTCATCAGACCAGAGGACATTTATCCAAAAAGTACGATCTTTGTCCCCATGTGCAGTTGCAAACCGTAGTCTGGCTTTTTTATGGCAGTTTTGGAGCAGTGGCTTCTTCCTTGCTGAGCGGCCTTTCAGGTTATGTCGATATAGGACTCATTTTACTCGACCATTGATACACCGCAAGCAAGAGGTTTCTGTTTTTGGTCGCTTTCCCCTGCTCAGACGTTGCCAAGTAATTGACTGTGCAGTCAGGCACCAGATTGCTATAATGCCGCGTTCATGTGCTAGTTAGAACTAAACTGACATTTCGACTTGCTAACTGGTTGTAGTTATACACTTGAATCAGCAAGTCGGACATTTCCCCGTTTCGTAGTTCCGACCAGAGTATGTGAGCGGAGTGGAGCTGGAGCAAGGAGCGGAGTATGCCCAATTTGACTGGAGCACGGAGCGAGATTCCCAAAGGCTGGAGCGTCGGTCTTCTCGCCGGCTCCAATAACAGTAGCATTCACTTCATCAGCTCAGGGCATGCCCTGCCCAGCATGCATTTGTAGTCGACTTCAAATGCCCTTGCTTTATACCCTTGTTTGATCTACTGTCATGGAGTTCGCTAAAAAAATTAACTGATAAGACACACAGGTGCAAAATCAAGGTGACTTACAAAGAATGAGAGTGGCCAACATGGTGTTTAGCATCCCAGTGGCTCTGCAAGCGCGGAGAGGACATTCTCCACTGCTGACCTGCTCTCCAGGCACCATCGCATGAGCTTGAAGCCACAGACTCTGGCCAAACTGGTGTTTCTAAAAATGAATTCAAAGGCACTGTAGACTGAACCTAATAAGGCATTTTTCATTTAATTTGTATTTAATTCTAAGTAAGTCATAGCCAATATGTGCAATTTATAGACTATAAAGATTTAATACACAAAATGTTGTTTAAATTCTGAGCGCTTAATGTCCCTGACTCCCTACTAACCTAGTGTGACGCACTCGCAAATGCTTCACAATGTATTTCTTTGTAGGCTATAGCCTTGAAATAATAGTCTAAATAATTCATTGTAGCCTATTTGAAATGATGAGCGCTTCTTACATTCACCTTTTCGTGTTTATTATAATAATTTTCATTCAAATCACATGGTTTGGTTTCAATACTTCAAAACCAAATGGTTGGTCCAGGTTGTCACAAATATTGATGGGTGTTGGTTAAATTGTGATTTTAATGAATGGAGCAAAATTGGAGCGGCATTTTTTTTCACGTGAGTGAGGAGCAGATTTTAGTGAAGCGGTTGGAAAGGACGTGGAGCGCCAATCCATGAGCGATGAGCCTGATTTCCTACTGCTCAACTCTGCTCTCAAACTCTGGTTCCGACTAGCATGTGAACCAGGGGAGGCTGGCTCATAATAATGGCTGGAACGGAGCAAATGGAATTGCATCAGCCATTACCACAAGCCCGTCCTCCCCAATTAAGGTGCCACCAACCTCCTGTGATGGGAACTCAGCATAACATATGGGGCATGTTCCACAGCTAAGGCGAAAAGATGCAACAACCAATGGTTGTGAGCCACTTCATCGACTGACAAATTGCTATAACATATGTGGTTAGCTTAGCTCAGTTTTTCCCAACCCTGGTCCTCCTGTACCCCCAACAGTACACATTGTTGTTGTAGCCCTGGACAAACACACCTCATTCAACTCATTGAGGGCTTGATGATTAGTTGACAAGTTGAATCGGGTGTGCTTGTCCAGGGTTACAATACAAATGTGTACTGTTAGGGGCACTCGAGGACCAGGGTTGGGAAACACTGGCTTAGCTGGTACTTTAAATACTTATCCATGTGTAGTAAGATCTGTCAGGCGTCAGCAACGTCTAAGCATAGGAACACACCCCTAATGTGGTTAGCTGATACAGAAAATACCCATCCAGGCTTTGCAATAGCTGGCATGCTGCAGCAACGCCTGGGTAGAGGGAACACGCCCTGAGTCTGTAAAGGCTTAACATTTCAATATTTCTGAAAGCACTGGGTTTGAGTTGCCTTTTGTGTAATTATCAACAATTTACTTTTGTCTGACTAGTTGAATTCAGACGAGCAGCTTTAGCAATGTCCATTTAAATTAATTTGAGTATGTTCAACAATTTATTAGCCTGGCTACACTGAAAATGTATGTTGCATCAAAAGCTTGGGTCTAAGTAGTGCATACCAATATGGTATAGATTTTAGTAGCCTATCAATCTAATGTAAAATTATAGACAAGTCATATCTTCATAATAGGCTGGTGTTTATTGTCATACCATAATGATCTTTCAGGAGTGAAAAGATAGGAATAGCAGTAAATTTAGTAACAAGCCTTATGACAGCGGTGTACATTTATTTTTCAGAAACATTTCAAACAGACTATCCACAAAAAACATACCCAGATCCATCCTTTTTTACAGTTCTGGATGCATTTTCATTATTCTTGATACTCTGTGCTCTGTTGTCTCTCCTCTCAACAACCACACAATGTCATCAGATGTCACAACATGCACACCTCAATGTCACCTATGGCACAGAATTTTATATTGTGATAAAAATTAATACAAAAACACAATACACAAAAAATTATGGTGACATAACTACAAAATTACATCTGGAATTTGGTACTATACTGTACATTACACAGATATTTTATTGATGTTGTAGAATGCTTTATAATTTCCAAAGATGACAAAAATAAAAATATTTTAAAAAATGTACTTCAACTGAACTTGTCACCTTTGCTCTTGTTGGATGTTCAAAACCTAGTCCTGAGGTCATCATTGGAAAGGGTAAAGAGACTCGTGGATAGGTTGGAGGAAAAAGCGCACCGCTGGTCAGCCACAGGCAACCTAACAGCTTGGATACAGTGGGAAAAAAACTAAAATGGACAAGATTAAGTTAGAAATAAAAGGAAAACTAATACATAAGAGAACCTTGGAGTGGCCAATCATCTGCTAGCTAACTACTACACTAGAAAAGCTTTAGCAGCAGTGTACAAATAAAAGTTAACTTTTGTTTACATGTAGAATTTCTGTTGGACGTGTACACTTAACAAGTCCAACACTGAACAATAAAATTATCTTCAGCAATTAACAAAAAAATCGAGTGAGTATATGTTTTAACAAGACAGGGACTATGTAAGAATTTCCACTAAACTGAAGACTTTAGCTTAGCTCTCTGGTATCCTTTTTAAACATTTTTACCACCATAATTTACAGGCACAACCTAGTAAGAGGAGGCATTCAAGCAACAGTCTCATATCTCAGAGGATTCGGAGCAGAATGAAAATGCCAGACACACAATATTTCCCAATTGTCTCGTTTATTTTTATTAATTTTTTTCAACAAAATGTATACAATAAAAGTGAAAGCCTGGCATTTTGTGGATAAACATAACATGCTAATCATCAGTATGCTAAAACTTAAAAAGGAAAGTTATATACAGCATTTAATCAAAGTAGATACACCGATAGCAGAATGTATTATTTGCAATTAAGTTACATTACATCTAAATCAACCCTTAGGTTGGTATCCAGCACCGAGAGGAAACAATTACAATAGAGAAATGAATATCCCCCCCCCCCCCATAACACACATTCATTGGGCATTTCTTAAGTCATCTCAGGAACATCGCTTGCCTCGGTCTCCCACTTCTCCAAAAAGTCCTGCAGGTTCAAGTTGAAAGTATCAATACCTTTACCAGACAGATGAACCCCGTCTGGCCTGTACAGGCCTGCATCTGAGCCACACGTGATGTTTTCATGGGTCAGGGCGGTGCCACCTAGCTCAGCGATGATGGTGTGAACTCTTCTGTTGATGGCGGCCCTAACATTGTCCACTGCTTCGCTGTCCTCCGTTTGCCTCCAGGACATCCGGGGCAAGATGTCAGACCAGACTAACAGGCATTGTGGGAAAATGCTCCTCATGGAGGTCAGGTCTTTCTTCACAGACAACATAAGGGCCTCAGGGCTGTGGGTTCCCAGATCGTTCCCACCCAGGTGCAGGATGACCACGTCCGGTTTGGGCCACTTGATCTTCAGCTGGTCTAAATGGGGCAGCAGCTGGGCCCACGTCATGCCCTGTGTGCCCTTCCACCACAACCGCACACTGCTGGGGTCCATGCCCAACTGCATGCCAATCTCAGGCGACTTGGCCCTCATCTCTGCCCAATATATAAGCGAGTGGCCACAGATCCACACGTTCCTAGGCTCAGTTTTGGCAAAGGTAACTTTGGGAACTTTTCCTGTAAAAACGCAATAATGAGACAGTGTACATGTATGGGTTAGCTTCACAGGGGCTCTGCTAGGTTGACGTTACTGCGAGGATTGACCTCTACTCCAGCTCTTGGGACTTTCTTCCACCTGGCCCAGAACTGATGGAGCTGACACTCAATACTATGTCCTCCTGCAGTTAGTTAACTTAGTCTAGTGCTATAACAGAACTCTCCTAATGAACTGAGGTATGAGAAATATTTGACACTAAAGACACCTTATACACTAACTGACCTAGCTTGATCTTGTTCGTGTAGTACTTCCAGACCACACCCTCATTATGCAGGCCCTAGCTAGTAGTCAGATTGACAGCAGTGACAATGTCGATCCCTGTTTTGGAGTGAAAACAACACTAACAAGTCCCCCATTCAGGTACAATTCTCCCTAGCAGTAGAGATACCCTAATCAAGAAACTTACAGTAATTCTAAAATGGTCAAAAAGTCCTAACACTATTGCGGCCTTCCTACAGCTCCCCTAATCCCTGTTTCTGTACTACATAAACAATAATGCAATTCAACAGCTGAATACCTATTGATGCAAACTCTGCTAAAATACTTACCTTTATCTGTTGGAGAAAACATTACATGTTAAAGCTAGCTAACATTGTCTTTAGAGCAACTCCAGTCCAGATGAAAGGAACATGGGAGTCTATGTCGGTCTATTGTTTCTATTGTTATTAGTTTGTCTGTGCAAAAGCACTTGAAGACCACCATGTTCATAAATTGTATTGCATGCACAGTGGACAATAAATAAAACATTCTTTTTTATATACATTTCTTTGTGAGCATAAACCGAGCATGAGCACTTCCCTACTAGGACATACTTGCATTACACAATTTTAAGACAAGCACCAAGCTGGTAAATTGTTACAGGGCCAGGGCTTTCAAAGCAAATATATAGGAACACTAAAAACATTTTCTAAACTTTCTGAGCGAGACCAAGCCCTAACACAAGAATAAAAACAGAATATTTACATCTAGGAAAATATCAATGCTAAAGCTATCTAAGATATCCCTTAAACCGGATTACCTATGGCTGGAATAACAGCAAGTAAAACCTACATTAAACCTGTCTAAGTGAAGACTCAAACCCATCAGTGTTCCCTCCATAGCTGGCTCTTGACACCTATGGTACCACCTCATCCTATACTTTCATTTGTGTTTAGTGCCTAGTATCTAAAGCTCCAGACTTGTTCTGGCATCACCTAATCTTAACCTAGGCTACAATTTGTGGCTGGCCATATTGCCACATTTCCACCTTACTCTAAGGGTTATCTGGTACCTGCTGTGTTCTTCCTAGTGTCACGAGTATCGTTCTTCCTCTCCTGATTCTTCAGTCTCATCCGCATGTTAAACTGCTCCAGCTACAAAACAGTGACAAATGGAGACACACACACATTGTCTTTCCAATGTAAATACAGTCAACTCCTAAATGAAGCAGATTGGGACTGACTTGCCAGCGTGCACTAAAACCAGAACATTAAGTTATCAGAAGCAATTGAATAGAATTGGGACTACAAGTATTCTGTACACACTGCACTTTTCCCAAGTGCACTTATCAGGAATTTACAATTTCACACAATATACCTACCCAAAAAGCTTTAAATAGGCCTATACTGTAATTCAAATGTAAACAACACCAAGGACTTAAGGTGTCATACACAAATGTAACACAATCAGACACGTAAAATGTTTTCTAATTTCTACACATGGAATGAAAAAAACACAACATACCCTTTTCTTCTGTTTGGCCTTGATATCGTCTTCCGTCACTGGTGGACTCTGAGTCTCTGGTGTTTGAGGGGGAGGAGAGAGCTGTCCAGATGCAGAATCGGGACTTTGTGTTTTGATCTGGAGAGGTATGGTGATATTTTGTCTTGGCGAATCCTGCTGTGCACCAGACCCACTTTTGACTGTTTCAATTACCTTGAGGCATCTAGACCGGTTGGTGACTTGGAGGATTTGACTAAAGGCATCCCTTGTAGGATTCGATATAGTCACTTGATTCAATATATCCACTTGTTGTGTGAACTGAGTCTTTGCAAACAGTATCATGGGGGCACTAGGCTGCCCATAATAAGTGGAGGGCAAGGCGGTGAGTAGGTCAGGGGATTGTGCCACAGGTGATGTAAAAGTATACACCCCAGCTTCTTGTTGACCAGCTGGAACATCAGGTATGTTTGTCATGGACGGGACCGGGGAAATCTGTTGGGGGGGACCTGAGGAACCGGGCGGCAGTGATGAGAGATAGTTGGTACTACAACCCTTGCTAGGCCAACTCTTAGGCGCGATGGGTTGTGTCTTCTCAGGGCAGTTCCACTGTGTGGTGGAATAGGAGGTGCCAGGCTGTGAGGAGGGGGTGGGGGGCGAGACGCTCACTGTCCTGGTGAGGCTCTGCATCTGCCTGGCCTTCTCTAAGGCCGCCTCCTCTTCCGGGTCAAGGAACCCTCCATATTCCGAGGTGTATTGGGGGCTGAGGTACACCTCCTGCTGGGAAGACCTGGACAGCGAGGCTGACAGGAGGCGTTTGGAATCAGAGGAGTCGGTGGTGCGGCTCCGATGCCGATCTCCCCGCCTAGATGAGTGCTTCGTCTCTCTCTCTGAGGAATCGGATGAGTGTTTGGATGACTTTGTCCCGTAGAGGCGCTCCTGGGTCCTGTCTGCCAGCTTGGTGACCTCCGAGGTGTCCAGGTTCAGGCCGATGGCCTGGAGCAGGCTCTTGATCTTGTCGAAGTGCTGCGTCTTGTCCTGACTCTCCTGCTCCCTGGTCTCCTCCACCGGTGCTCTGGCTGAGCTGGACCTCCTGTTATCCCTGTACCTGTCTGACCGCCCAGGTTTCTCATAGCGCTCCTTCTCAGCCGCTGCAGGGGCTTTATCCCCATAGAGGAAGTCCTCCTCTTCTTCCACACGTTCAGGTTCTCTCAATAGCTGGCTGTGGGACATAATTCCGAGAAAGCCACCAACATCCTGGATTGCTCTCTCGTGAGGCAGCAGCCAGTCTTCGTTTCTGGGGTCGTTATAGTCGTCTGAGGTCTTCACTTGCTCCCTGACAAAGCCCCTGCGTGGGCACTCTGGCTCCTCCTCTGTACAGGGCTCATCCCTGTACTGATCTCCATCCCCACGGTCATGCGACTCGCAATAACGCTTTTGAGGTATTGAACTATATTCCTGAATACCAGCAATCTCCTCTCGAGACTCCTTGACCAAAGTGGACAGCAGACCGGCATCCACACCTTTGTTGAGGGTGTTGAGGAAACGGGCAAGCTGGGTGTTCAGGTTCGGGTTATTTTCCTGAGACTCTCGAATGGGAGGTCGATTTGAAGAATGAGGGTCAAGAGGTGTTTGGCAAACTGGAGAAGGTTGCGACGGGTGCTGTCTAGAAGTCTGCTGATACGAATCATACTTGGCAGATAAGTTGGGAACAGGATGCCCAGCAAGTGAACGTTCATAACAGGACTCCTGACTGGATGTTTGGGTGTAGGGTGGTTGGGCAGAGTGTGGTTTATAGGGCGTCTCAACGTCATAACCGTATTGTTCCACAAGCCTTTGATCAAGAGGTTGAGCTTTAGGGGGTTCAGTCTGCAGAGAAGAAACAAAAAATTAATAGTTGCACTTTTTCCCCCCCATTTCATACAAATGATTTGATTTGACAAATTGCTCATCATGCTGATGATTGAATGTTTATTTTACCGATATATGATAACTATAAAAAGCACTGGCACCCCATGGAATGTAATCAGCTCTTAAAAATTATTGAGAGAGAACAAACGATTATCTACATGATTGAGAAGTTTAAAAATGACAACTGACCTGAATTGGGAAAAGTGGCCCTGTGACATGGTCTGAGCGCTTCTTCAGAATGGACTTGGGTTTGATGTCAGTGGGTGGTTTAGGTTGTGTAGGAAGCTCTGGCATTCCATGATTGTAGTCAAAGCAGGTCTTCTCCATAGGCTTCACTTTTGGAAAGAAATGGGGAACTCCACCATGTTGCTCCAAGGCAACCATGGCTCTCTTGCGGTATATCAACTCATTGAGCTCCTCTAGTTCTCTCTTCTTTTTTTCCAGCTCATCGTTTATTCTATCTGGAGGTTTACTTTCTGAGCTTGAACCGTTCTTGGAGCTCCTCTGACTGCTTCCATCTCGCTCCTTGCTGCGGCTCCTTTTGGAGGAAGTCCTCTCTTTGCTGCTGCTCCTGTGTTTGGAATATTTTCTCTCCAGACTGTGGCTTCGTCTCCTGCTCCCACGGCTGCTCCTCTCCCTGCTCCGGCTCCTGCTGCGACTGCTCCTGTACCTGCTGCTACCACCCCGCTCTCTGCGCTCCCTGCTCGTGCTCCACCTTTTCTTCACCCGGCCAAACTGGTCTAGGCTGGGGCTCCTGCTTCGGCTCCTGCCATTGCGCCCGTATCTGCTGTTGGAGTCCTTGGCACCAGATCCAGAGCCAGCAGTTTTTGACCGTAGAGTTTTTACGACCGCTTTCATCTTATCTGACTCCCCCGAGGCAGGTTTGTCGTTGCTGGTGCACAAAAGAATGAGGGAAATGACTTTGCGGGTGGGGGTGGTTCTACTAAGCTAACATATGGAATTGTTTAAAGATGGTCATACCAAGGATAATTTAGCTATTTGATTTTGGGACCCAAGGGGTGCACGTTTTGGTTTTTGCACTAGCACTACACAGCTGATTCAAATAATTAAAGCATGATGATTAGTTGATTATTTGAATCAGCTGTGCAGTGCTAGGGCAAAAACCAAAACGTGCACCCCTTGGGGTCCACAGGACCGAGTTTGGGAAACACTGATTAACCCCTTATTTTAGGCACTAAAATAACTCCATATATACTTCCATTATTTTGTTTTACTTGTACCTGGCTACCTTCAGACTAGTCTTGTGAGCATCCTAGAGAAAAACAACCGACATAAGTGTTCGTGAGAGACTCACCTTTCCACAGAGGGGTCATATTAGTGTGTAGCCCAAACGGTTCAGACAGAAGTTGGCAGATCGGATGTACTGATTTCAGACGAGTCCCGTGACGCTTGTGGGGGTCGTAGAGCATAACGGAGAACACCATCGTGTTTGTGAGAATCATCTTTCCATAGAGGGGTAATAATAGTTTGCGGGCCAAACTGTTCGGACGCTACAGACGTTTTCGTGAGAAGTCCAATTTTCGGGATGTCTCGTGGTCTGACAAACATCGCTCTGCCACCTTTCACCGCAGATGCGGAAGGGCGACATCAACGGCTGCAGTGGATTGAGCTGCAGCCCACGCCAAAAAACTGATCTCTAGCTTAAACTGACGGATTTCGCTAAGGATCTTTTTATTATGCTAATTATATTTCCACAGGGCCGCGGACATCGACTCTAGGGGGTTAAATGTTTAAATTTTAGGGTACTTGTGGCTGTGCCAACAAATGATATCCAAAATCATCACACAATGATACTTTACCTTGACTTCATGTTGGAACCAACACTACTACTAATTACAATCAAACTCACGTGTGATCATCATCTTTGTTCTCTCCTTTGACACCTGTGCCCTTGATGAGGTATTTTGGGTCTCTCATCAGTTTGATGGTCATCTTCTTCTGTAATAGACAATAATAGGCAATAGACAGTTTAATACAACATACAGACAGCCACGTCTAACCCTTAAGTGAATATGACATCCCCAAGCGCTAGCACCATTGATTAAAGTCACTGGCCTTTGTTCCATCATAAACCAACCTTTTCTTTTGCCGCCATGCCCCCTAGCTTGGGCACAGGGGTGAAGACACTGTCAATAAGGCGTTTGATCCTAATCGCTTGGTTTCCTCCTTCAGCGGTTTCAAGCTAGGAGAAAATGGAAAGAGTTAAAGAAAAACATATTAATAAAACAAAAATAATAACATTTTAAGGTCCAGTGCAGCCCTTTTTATCTCAACATTAATCAATTCTTGGTAACAATTATGTAACTTACTGTACCAATTCTGCTAAAATTGTTAAAAACAACAAAAATAGCTTTTTAGCAAAAATAACCATTTCTCAAGCAAGAATTTAGCAAGGACTGTCTGGTCTGAGGGGAGCAGGGAAGAGCACCAAAGCGGTGCATTAACCACAGTTATGACTGTGGCATGGGGATCAATCCACCAGAGCGGAGGGGACTAATGGGAGAGATATATAACCTTAAGACGAGCTGTTATTGTTAGAGGTTTCAAACTCTCTTTGTTATTGTCTATTAACTTATACCGCCTGGTGATGTCACCAGGCAAGCCAAAACTTCACCATTGCAAACCCTGCTGATTAGAAGGTCCTGTGGTGATTGTATTTTCAAATAACACGTTAGTTTAATCAGCTGTTGTACAAATATGATACAAAACACAGGGAAACAGAATTTTGACTGCACTGGGCCTTTAACTTCTTTGTCCTTCTTTCTAAAAGAATCAAGACTCAGAGGACAGTGATTCAATTGATCCATATGAGAGCAGCAGTGTGGGTTATATGGAACTGTAATCAGGAAACTGCGTGTTCCTAAAGTTGGAAAGAACTGGTTTCTCTAAATAGCGTGGCGCCAGGACAACAACCTCTCCCTCAACGTGAGCAAGACAAATGAGATGATCGTGGACTACAGGAAAAGGAGGGCCGAACAGGCCCCCATTAACATCGACGGGGCTGTAGTAGAGCAGGTCGAGAGTTTCAAGTTCCTTGGTGTCCACATCACCAACAAACTATCATGGTCCAAACACACCAAGACAGTGGTGAAGAGGGCACAACCACACCTTTTCCCCCTCAGGAGTCTGAAAAGATTTGGCATGGGTCCCCAGATCCTCTAAAAGTTCTACAGCTGCACCATCGAGAGCATCCTAACCGGTTGCATCAACGCCTGGTATGGCAACTGCTCGGCATCCGACCGTAAGGCACTACAGAGGGTAGTGCGTACGGCCCAGTACATCACTGGGGCAAAGCTTCCTGACATCCAGGACCTCTATACCAGGCGATGTCAGAGGAAGGACCTAAAAATTGTCAAAGACTCCAGTCACCCTAGTCATAGACTGTTCTCTCTGCTACCGCACGGCAAGCGGTACCGGAGCGCCAAGTCTAGGTCCAAAAGGCTCCTTAACAGCTTCTACCCCCTAGCCATAAGACTGCTGAACAATTAATCAAATGGCCACCCAGACTATTTGCATTGACCCCCCCCCCTTTGTTTTTACACTGCCGCTATTCGCTGTTTATCATCTATGCATTGTCACTTTACCCCTACCTACATGTACAAATGACCTAAACTAACCTGTACCCCTGCACATTGACTCGGTACCGGTACCCCCTGTATATAGCCTCGTTATTGTTATTTTATTGTGTTACTTTGTATTTTATTTTTTACTTTAGTTTATTTAGTCAATTTCTTGAACTGCATTGTTGGTTAAGGGCTTGTAAGTAAGCATTTCACGGTAAGGTCTACACCTTTTGTAATCGGGCGCATGTGACAAATAAAAATTGATTTGATTTGAAATAGCTAGTTGCATATACCATGCCTTCAGAAAGTATTCTCACCCCTTTACTTTTTCCACATTTTGTTGTGTTACAAGGTGAGATTAAAAAGGATTTAATTGTATTTTTATTTATTTTTTGATCTACACAAAATACTCTAATGTCAGAGTGGGAGAAAAATTCAAACATTTGTAAAAGATCAATGAAAAATAAAACACTAATATACATTAGATATACAAAAGTATGTGGACACCCCTTCAAATTAGTGGATTCGGCTATTTCTGCCACACCCGTTGCTGACAGGTGTATAAAATCGAGCACACAGCCATGCAATCTCCATAGCCAAACATTGGCAGTAGAATGGCCTTACTGAAGAGCTCAGTAACTTTCAACGTGGCACCGTCATAAGATGCCACCTTTCCAACAATTCAGTTCATCAAATTTCTTCCCTGCTAGAGCTGCCCTGGTCAACTGTAAGTGCTGCTATTGTCAATTGCAACACTCACTACCGAGTTCCAAACTGCCTCTGGAAGCAATGTCAGCACGAGAACTGTTCGTCGGAGCTTCATGAAATGGGGTTCCATGGCCGAGCAGCCGCACACAAGCCTAAGATCACCATGCGCAATGTCAAGTGTTGGCTGGAGTGGTGTAAAGCTCGCCGCCTTTGGACTCTGGAGCAGTGGAAACGCGTTCTCTGGAGTGATGAGTCACGTTTCACCATCTGGCAGTCCGACGGACGAATATGGGTTTGGCAGATGCCAGGAGAACGCTACCTACCCCAATACATAGTGCCAACTGTAAAGTTTGGTGGAGGAGGAATAATGGTCTGGGGCTGTTTTTCATGGTTTGGGCTAGGCCCCTTAGTTCCAGTGAAGGGAAATCTGAACGCTACAGCATACAATGACATTCTAGACGATTCTGTGCTTTGTGGCAACAGTTTGGCGAAGGCCCTTTCCTGTTTCAGCATGGCAATACCCCCATGCACAAAGCGAAGTCCATACAGAAATGTTTTGTCAAGATCGGTGTGGAAGAACTTGACTGGCCTGCAAAGAGCCCTGACCTCAACCCCATCAAACACCTTTGGGATGAATTGGAACGCCGACTGCGAGCCTGGCGTAATCGGCCAACATCAGTGCCCCGACCTCACTAATGCTCTTGTGGCTGAATGGATGCAAGTCCCCGCAGCAATGTTCCAACATCTAGTGGAAAGCCTTCCCAGAAAAGTGGAGGCTGTTATAGCAGCAAAGGGGGGACCAACTCCATATTAATGCCCATGATTTTGAAATGAGATGTTCGACGAGCATGTAGTGTATCTTGATTAGATAAGTATTCAACCCCCTGAGTCAATACATGTTAGAATCACCTTTGGCAGCGATTACAGCTGTGAGTCTTTCTGGCTATGTCTCTAAGAGCGTTCCACACCTGGATTGTGCAACATTTGCCCATTTTTCTTTTCAAAATGGTTGTTGATCATTGCTAAATAACAACTTTCAGGTCTTGCCATAGATTTTCAAGCAGATTTAAGTCAAAACATCAACTCAGCCACTCAGGAACACTCAGTGTCGTCTTGGTAAGGAAGTCTTGTGTAGATTTGGCCTTGTGTTTTAGGTAATTGTCCTGCTGAAAGGTAAATTCACCTCCCAGTGTCTGGTGGAAAGCAGACTGAACCAGGTTTTGCCTGTGCTTAGCTCTATTCCAGGGTTTAATCCTGAAAAACTCCCCAGTCCTTAACGATTACAAGCATACCCATAACATGATGCAGCCACCACTATGCTTGAAAATATGGAGAGTGGTACTCAGTAATATGTTGTATTGGATTTGCCTCAAACATAACACTTTGTATTTAGGACAAAAAGTGAATTGTTTGCACCATTTTTTGCAGTATTACTTCAGTGTCTTGTTGCTAACAAGATGCATGTTTTAGAATATTTTTTATTCTGTACAGGCTTCCATCTTTTCGCTCAGTCAATTAGGTTAGTATTGTGGAGTATCGACAACGTTGTTGATCCATCCTCAGTTCTCCTGTCACAGCCATTAAACTCTATAACTGTTTTAAAGTCACCATTGGCCTCACGGTGAAATCCCTGAGCGGTTTCCTTCCTATCCGGCAACTGAGTCTTTTCTAGTGACTGGGTGTATTAATACACCATCAAAAGTGTAATTAATAACTTCACCATGCTCAAAGGGATATTCAATGTCTGCTTTATTTTTACCCATCTACCAATAGGTGCCCTTCTCTGCAAGGCATTGGAAAACATCCCTGGTCTTTGTGGTTGAATCTGTGTTGGAAATTCACTGCTCGACTGAAGGACCTTACAGATAATTGTATGTGTGGGGTACAGAGATGAAGTAGTCATTCAAAAATCATGTTAAACACTATTATTGCAACTTATTATGTGACTTTTTAAGCACATTTTTACTCCTGAACTTATTTAGGCTTGCCATAACAAAGGGGTTGAATACTTATTGACTCAAGACATTTCAGCTTCTCATTTTTAATTCCTTTGTAAAATTTTCTAAAAACATTATTCGACTTTGACTTTATGGGGTATTGTGTGTAGGCCAGTGACAAAATATCTAAATTTAATACATTTTAAATTCAGGCTGCAACAAAACAAAATGTGGAAAAAGTCAAAGTCAAGGGGTGTGAATACTTTCTGAAGGCACTGTATACCAATTGATTTTAACTTCGCCGTGCCAATCGGATCACAGCACCAGGGAGACTCACCGGAATTTCACTGAACTCCACCTTCTCTGAGATGTCCAGTTTCTTCTCCTCCATGACCTCAGTCAGATGGAAGAACAGCAGCTGGGGGCTCTGATGGCACTTAATGGTCCCAGACAGCTCCTCAGCTTGCACCACCACACCCTAGAGGGGAAAACACTTCACTTAGACATGCTGTGCAAATCCATTAAGGCATTTTTAAATAAAAATACCATTACATAAAACATCCCATCCTTCTTCAGTGTGTAAAGTTGTCATACTTCAAGTGGAAAAACCTAGCCAGCCTCAGACTTAACGGCATCCTGTACTGCATTCTAAAAGTGATCCTACGGTTCTGCGTTGCTCTGTTGACTCCTCAAACGTCTCGGAGAGAATCTCCACGTTGATGGCACGCTCCTCCTTGGTCACACGGTTGGTGGAGATGTTAAATTGAACCTTGTCTCCGTTAAACATGGTGGCTTCAGTCAGAATGTCAGCTGCTCCAAACGATAGCTGCTTCTGTGTGCCACCCACGAACGCCTCCAAAAGACCCTGCTCCTGGAAGGAAAAGGAGATAACACATTCTAAAATACATGATTTGACCGCCCAAACTTTTTCAACAAGAGCACATATAGTGGGGAGAACAAGTATTTGATACACTGCCGATTTTGCAGGTTTTCCTACTTACAAAGCATGTAGAGGTCTGTAATTTTTATCATAGGTACACTTCAACTGTGAGAGACGGAATCTAAAACAAAAATCCAGAAAATCACATTGTATGATTTTAAAGTAATTAATTTGCATTTTATTGTATGACATAAGTATTTGATACAGAAAGCAGAACTTAATATTTGGTACAGAAACCTTTGTTTGCAATTACAGAGATCATACGTTTCCTGTAGGTCTTGACCAGGTTTGCACACACTGCAGCAGGGATTTTGGCCCACTCCTCCATACAGACCTTCTCCAGATCCTTCAGGTTTCGGGGCTGTCGCTGGGCAATACGGACATTCAGCTCCCTCCAAAGATGTTCTATTGGGTTCAGGTCTGGAGACTGGCTAGGCCACTCCAGGACCTTGAGATGCTTCTTACGGAGCCACTCCTTAGTTGCTCTGGCTGTGTGTTTCGGGTCGTTGTCATGCTGGAAGACCCAGCCACGACCCATCTTCAATGCTCTTACTGAGGGAAGGAGGTTGTTGGCCAAGATCTCGCGATACATGGCCCCATCCATCCTCCCCTCAATACGGTGCAGTCGTCCTGTCCCCTTTGCAGAAAAGCATCCCCAAAGAATGATGTTTCCACCTCCATGCTTCACAGTTGGGATGGTGTTCTTGGGGTTGTACTCATCCTTCTTCTTCCTCCAAACACGGCGAGTGGAGTTTAGACCAAAAAGCTCTATTTTTGTCTCATCAGACCACATGACCTTCTCCCATTCCTCCTCTGGATCATCCAGATGGTCATTGGCAAACTTCAGACAGGCCTGGACATGCGCTGGCTTGAGCAGGGGGACCTTGCGTGCGCTGCAGGATTTTAATCCATGATGGCGTAGTGTGTTACTAATGGTTTTCTTTGAGACTGTGGTCCCAGCTCTCTTCAGGTCATTGACCAGGTCCTGTCGTGTAGTTCTGGGCTGATCCCTCACCTTCCTCATGATCATTGATGCCCCACGAGGTGAGATCTTGCATGGAGCCCCAGACCGAGGGTGATTGACCGTCATCTTGAACTTCTTCCATTTTCTAATAATTGTGCCAACAGTTGTTGCCTCCTCACCAAGCTGCTTGCCTATTGTCCTGTAGCCCATCCCAGCCTTGTGCAGGTCTACAATTTTATCCCTGATGTCCTTACACAGCTCTCTGGTCTTGGCCATTGTGGAAAGCTTGGAGTCTGTTTGATTGAGTGTGTGGACAGGTGTCTTTTATACAGGTAACGAGTTCAAACAGGTGCAGTTAATACAGGTAACGAGTGGAGAACAGGAGGGCTTCTTAAAGAAAAACTAACAGGTCTGTGAGAGCCGGAATTCTTACTGGTTGGTAGGTGATCAAATACTTATGTCATGCAATAAAATGCAAATTAATTACTTAAAAATCATACAATGTGATTTTCTGGATTTTTGTTTTAGATTCCGTCTCTCACAGTTGAAGTGTTCCTATGATAAAAATTACAGACCTCTACATGCTTTGTAAGTAGGAAAACCTGCAAAATCAGCAGTGTATCAAATACTTGTTCTCCCCACTGTAACAATACTGTTTGATTTGTACTTTCAATCTTTCAGTACCACCTGTACCTGCTTCTTTTCAGAGACTTTGAGGACAGCCTTAATGACCGTTCCTGCATGCTGCGCAGTGCTAATGTCCTCAAACACCACAGTCCTCTGGAGCAGCACCTCCTCCACTGGGGCCACTGGCTTCCACTGGAGAGACACAGTAATAAGGACATTACTGGGTATGTCACAGATGAGAGTACTCCACTCTGAATGACAGGAGATTTTCCACCTGTTGGCACCTATCATAATTTTGCACTGAACTGTGCCCCACCTTGTCTTTTCCTGCAGGGTCTTCAACTATCTTCTCCTTGGTTTCTTCCAGTGTCACCGAGCACTCTTTCAGCTTCCTTACTCTGATGGCCTTCTCCTTATCTTTGATCTAATGAAAACAAACAATGACATTATGTTAACATCAAATATGAGTCAATCGACAAATAATTTCAACAACATTGCTATACTTAGGATCAAAACCTGTACATAGAGGGTCATAACATCACTCCCAGGTACAAACTGATCATTATTCAGTGTCAACAAACTCAATTTGCCACTGAATTATGTGGACGGGAAAGACACTATACTCACTGTGACAACTGTAAAGTCCACCTCATCCATAATGGTGAACTCAGTTAGACTCATGTTCTCTGTGGTTTCAAAGGGCAGGTTGTTCTGGTTCGCTGCCATGATGGTACCAGAGCCACCCTTTAAGCTCTTTATAACACCCTGGTGGAGAGTACAAAAAATATATCAACAGCTAGCTACAGAAGGGATGGCCAACTCTGGTCCTAGAGAGCCGCCATGTGTGCAGTATTTTGTTCCAGCTCAGCTCCAACATACTTGATTTAAAGGGATTCTTTGGTACTTTTTAGCCAGTAGTTCTGAAAATAGCGCTTGAGCCAAAAGTGGTCCCCGAAACTGGCCTACTATGTGACATATGTGCACCACATCATTGCTCTCACGCTGCTGTGGGTGCATCATGTGCATCTTGCTAGCTGTCACTCATATGGCGAGGGGCTGAAGCTCATTGGTTGAACTCAAATTGCTAGGGGGCTGGCCCACGTGGGGGAAAATGTAGGGAAAATGGAACATAACAGCTTCCAGAAAAACAGTTGCTTTCAAACTAGGGATTTTGTGGCTAATTGAGGTAAGACAGTAATTCTACTCATAGATTATGAATGTATGAACTACACATTGACACATCCAGCCTAATGCGGGAGGTTTAGAAAATACTTAGTAGTCGCCAAATTACTGGAACATGTCTTTAAATAATTGTGGTCTCAACTGAGGATCTTGAATAGATGATTATTTGACTCAGGTGTGGTCATACCGGGCTGGATAAAATGGCGTGCAGCTCTCCAGGACCAAAGTTTGTCAGAATTTGTAACCAAAATGAAGGTTTAAGAATATAGGTACGCCACTCAGACTTTAGACTCACCACCTCCCTCTTCTCGCCAGTGATCTTAAAAGTCTGTGGTGTCCGTGGACGAATATTAGTGGCTCTAATTTTTTGGGTAACTATGTCGGTTAACAAGTTCAACGTCACATGGTCCCCTTGCAACAGAGTGATGGTGCAGTCCATCTCAGAGTAAAGCAGCGCTCTTGACTTGCCGTTGATGTTGGCCTCAATTTGGCCAGGTTTCGGCTTTGCACCAGGCTGTGTGGGGGCACATAATTCTGTTAATACCAACAAGGACATTTTTAAATGAGAAGCCAAATATTAGTCATAACAAGCCAAACATATAATCAAGTTAACTTACAATAAACAACAAACATAATAATATAATATAATAATATGCCATTTAGCAGACGCTTTTATCCAAAGCGAGTTACAGTCATGTGTGCATACATTTTTACGTATGGGTGGTCCCGGGGATCGAACCCACTACTCTGGCGTTACAAGCGCCATACTCTACCAATTGAGCTACAGAGGACCATCTAGTTGTGGCACTGATTAGAACTTTAATAAAGTCATGAGTGCATATTTTTTTTCCTGTGTGCTACAGAGTTCGGTCACCTGCTGCTCCAGGATAACATTGCAGACAAGACCTTCAATAATGGTGGAGTCAATCTCCTCAGTCCCCCCTGGAGGTACAGACACATCAGTGGCACACTCCCCAGCCTGGGTTTACAATACAAAGAGGGGAAAAAAAGTAGAAGGCATTATTTAAAATACAATGAAAACCAATGGTTCATAAACTCCTGAAAATGTCTGTTAAACTATATCCAGTGAAAAGTTTCTAAAGTGACCCACCTTCTCCTTGTAGGCTGTAAAATGCACCCTGACCCCAGGTATCATGTTCTTGGGGACTCCCAGAAAAGCATCAAAAGTGAAGGAATATTTCTTGAGATCGTCTCTTTCGATGTAGCCATAAGTTGGCTGTGGAGGGGAGAGCAACATTTGAGAATGCAATGTGTACTAGTGGAGATGAAGAACCTTCCATTCAAACAGGATTCTCAGCTTTTGGACTTACCCCAATGAATGAGATGACCCCCTTAGATCTTCCAGGTGGAGGAGGCCTATGATTTATAAATGTTGAGAGGAACAAATATATGAGTCATGTATAAGTGGAACTTTCTAAACACCTTATCTAATGTATGCAATCAAACACTAATCACAAATTGATGATGACATCCAAATTGTTGACATAATGATCATTACTTGTCATTGTAGCTCTTTTTCCCTGCTGCTTTTTTGTCCTTCTTTGAGTCTTTGGTCTTCAGTTCATCAGTCTGGGGTGGATCAGGCTGAGGGACCTCGGAGCCCCGGCAGAGTCCCCACACATCAGGCACTACAGTCGTCTCAGTATGAGGGGGGGCTGTTGTCGGGACGGGCTGTTGTCGGGAAGAGAAACAGAGCCTGTGAGAAGTTGAGGCTCAGCAGCACATACATTTAATTAAAATTGTATCATAGAGATGACAGGACAGAACAGACACAGTGGCACTTACCCACGATGGCGGAGGAACAGCATAAGGATTGGCCTAAAGGTGGCAGACTTGATGTTAGGGATTACTTTTTTCATTCATGAAGAACAAACTAATTGTTTTTGAGTGGCCATTTAACCGTGTCATGTTACTATAACACCAAAATACGTTTTTTACAAGTTCAACATTTAGAATTTACAACATGCATTAGGCACAACAAGTTGTCTTGATAAGATTACCTCGCTTTGCCAGGGTGGAGGAAAGACAGGGTTGTCCACCGGAGGCGGCACCATGGGCGGCATACCTGGGGGCGGAATACCAGGGGGCGGAATACCTGGGAGCATTGGTCCGGGTCCATTGCCCATCATCGGATCATATGGTCCGGGCATACCTGGACCATACCCGAATCCTGGTCCATCCATCGGTGGCCCATTGAAACATCCATCCATGGGGCAACCTGGGCCCATTGGCCCATATCCATCAATGGGGCCACCTGGACCCATTGGTGAATATCCATCCATGGGGTCACCTGGACCAATTGCCCCGTAGCCTGGCTCATATCCGTGATAATCAGGTGGCATGGGGCCGTGCATCATTGGATCTCCCATAAAGTTAGGATGTGGACCTGGGCCACCGTGAAAAGGACCAAAAGGTCCAGGCGGCCCACACCAACCTGGACCCATGTCAAATGGAGGAGGTCCATTGCCTTTTCCACGCTTCCGACCACCACCTCGTCCCATTTCGAAAAATGTCAACGAAAGCTAGCGCGCTAACGTTAGCTAGCTCGCAAGCTTACGTTAGCAGTAACAACTCTTCAAAGGGGGAAGTGAACGTTGAAATGCTGGCTAGATTGCCATACTAGTTATATATATATATATATATATTATATATATGAAGGTACACTTATTCACTATTGCGTATTCACATTTTGTGGTTTAATAGGTACGTCTGGTTATATCACAACTAAAACGTCTAACGTTAGCTAGCTAGTAAGCTTCATGACCTCCCACCAGACACAAGCGAACTTGTTGCGGATATTGTGACTGTGGAGACATTACGTATATCCGGTGTAGATAGAGCCAAATCAGAGAGGAAGAAGCGAAGGGGTTTCCACTAGATAACACAGCCACAAAGTCAAAATGGCTTTATGGTAGAAATGTATGAAAACAAAAATGTGCTTTTTGTTCTTAATGTAGGGTTAGGCATAAGGTTAGCAGTGTGGTTAAGGTTAGGTTTAAAATCAGATTTGAAAAACATAAATTGTAGAAATAGACGGGGTTTATGACTTTGTGAACCAGTGACGACCAAAGCGAAGCGAGAGGGTTTATACCACAGAGATCCTATTAAATTACTAGAAGGGCTGTGTCATATAAACCCTAAAAGTTCCAGAATGTCGTGAAAATGGAAACCATAGTCCGGAACGATATTCACGTAATAATAAGGAATTCAACTCCAGTGTAAAAATGCAACTTCGTCATAGATTTTTTTGGTATACGGAAATAACAAAACATGCCGAAAAGCTGCTGTGATGTTCAATGTTAATTTTTGAAATTGTATTTAACCTTTATTTAACCAGGTAAGCCAGTTGAGAACAAGTTCTCATTTACAACTGCGACCTGGCCAAGATAAAGCAAAGCAGTGCGATAAAAACAACAACACAGAGTTACATATGGGGTAAACAAAACGTAAAGTCAAAAATACAACAGAAAATATATATACAGTGTGTGCGAATGTAGTAAGTTATGGAGGTAAGGCAATAAATAGGCCATAGTGCAAAATAGTTACACTTTCGTATTAACACTGGAGTGATAGATGTGCAAAAGATGATGTGCAAATAGAGATACTGGGGTGCAAAATAAATAACAATATGGGGATGAGGTAGTTGAGTGGGCTAATTTCAGAATGGCTGTGTACAGGTGCAGTGATCTCTCTCCAGATAAAATCTTGCGACTTGTGACGGCCGGCCGCCCAACAACCTGCCCGCTTGACCCTATCCCCTCCTCTCTTCTCCAGACCATCTCCGGTGACCTTCTCCCTTACCTCACCTCGCTCATCAACTCATCCTTGACCGCTGGCTATGTCCCTTCCGTCTTCAAGAGAGCGAGAGTTGCACCCCTTCTCAAAAAACCAACACTCGATCCCTCTGATGTCAACAACTACAGACCAGTATCCCTTCTTTCTTTTCTCTCCAAAACTCTTGAGCGTGCCGTCTTTAGCCAACTCTCTTGCTATCTCTCTCAGAATGACCTTCTTGATCCAAACCAGTCAGGTTTCAAGACTGGTCATTCAATTCTCTGTGTCACGGAGGCTCTCCGCACTGCTAAAGCTAACTCTCTCTCCTCTGCTCTTGTCCTTCTAGACCTGTCTGCTGCCTTTGATACTGTGAACCATCAGATCCTCCTCTCCACCCTCTCTGAGTTGGGCATCTCCGGCGCGGCTCACTCTTGGATTGCGTCCTACCTGACCGGTCGCGCCTACCAAGTGGCGTGGCGAGAATCTGTCTCCGCACCACGTGCTCTCACCACTGGTGTCCCCCCGGGCTCAGTTCTAGGCCCTCTCCTATTCTCGCTATACACCAAGTCACTTGGCTCTGTCATATCCTCACATGGCCTCTCCTATCATTGCTACGCAGACGACACACAACTAATCTTCTCCTTTCCCCCTTCTGATAACCAGGTGGCGAATCGCATCTCTGCATGTCTGGCAGACATATCAGTGTGGATGACGGATCACCACCTCAAGCTGAATCTCGGCAAGACGGAGCTGCTCTTCCTCCCGGGGAAGGACTGCCCGTTCCATGATCTCGCCATCACGGTTGACAACTCCGTTGTGTCCTCCTCCCAGAGTGCGAAGAGCCTTGGCGTGACCCTAGACAACACCCTGTCATTCTCCGCTAACATCAAGGCGGTGACCCGATCCTGTAGGTTCATGCTCTACTTCATTCGGAGAGTACGACCCTGCCTTACACAGGAAGCGGCACAGGTCCTAATCCAGGCACTTGTCATCTCCCGTCTGGATTACTGCAACTCGCTGTTGGCTGGGCTCCCTGCCTGTGCCATTAAACCCCTACAACTCATCCAGAATGCCGCAGCCCGTCTGATGTTCAACCTTCCCAAGTTCTCTCACGTCACCCCGCTCCTCCGCACACTCCACTGGCTTCCAGTTGAAGCTCGCATCTGCTACAAGACCATGGTGCTTGCCTACGGAGCTGTGAGGGGAACGGCACCTCCGTACCTTCAGGCTCTGATCAGTCCCTACACCCAAACGAGGGCATTGCGTTCATCCACCTCTGGCCTGCTGGCCCCCCTACCTCTGCGGAAGCACAGTTCCCGCTCAGCCCAGTCAAAACTGTTCGCACCCCAATGGTGGAACAAGTTCATGACGCCAGGACAGCGGAGTCACTCACCACCTTCTGGAGACACTTGAAGCCCCACCTCTTTAAGGAATACCTGGGGTAGGATAAAGTAATCCTTCTAAACCCCCTTACCCCACCCCCCAAAAAAATAAAATAAAAAATTAATAAATAAAAATATACATATTGTAAAGTGGTTATCCCACTGGCTATAAGGTGAATGCACCAATTTGTAAGTCGCTCTGGATAAGAGCGTCTGCTAAATGACGTAAATGTCAATGTAAATGTGATCGGTAAGCTGCTCTGACAACTGATGCTTAAAGTTAGTGAGGGAGATAAGAGTCTCCAGCTTGAGAGATTTTTGCAGTTCGTTCCAGTCATTGACAGCAGAGAACTGGAAGGAATGGCGGCCAAAGGAGGTCTTTGCTTTGGGGATGACCAGTGAGATATACCTGCTGGAGCGCAGACTACGGGTGGGTGTTGCTATGGTGACCAGTGAGCTAAGATAAGACAGGGATTTGCCTCGCAGTGATTTATAGATGACCTGGAGTCGGTGGGTTTGGTGATGAATATGTAGTGAGGGCCAGCCAACAAGAGCGTACAGGTCACAATGGTGGGTAGTATATGGGGCTTTGGTTACGAAACGGATGGCACTGTGATGGACTACATCCGATTTGCTGAGTAGAGTGTTGGAGGCTATTTTGTAAATGACATCGCCGAAGTCAAGGATCAGTAGGATAGTCAGTTTTACGAGGGCATGTTTGGCAGCATGAGTGAAGCAGGCATTGTTGCGAAATAGGAAGCCGATTCTAGATCTAACTTTTGATTGGAGATGCTTAATGTGAGTCTGGAAGGAGAGTTTACAGTCTAACCAGACACCTAGGTATTTGTAGTTGTCCACATACTCTAGGTCAGACCCGCCGAGAGTAGTGATTTTAGTCGGGTGGGCAGGTGCAAGCAGCGTTCGGTTGAAGAGCATGCATTTAGTTTTACTACTGTATAAGAGCAGTTGGAGGCTACGGAAGGAGTGTTGTATGGCGTTGAAGCTTGTTTGGAGGTTTGTTAACACAGTGTCCAATGAAGGGCCAGATGTATACAAAATGGTGTCGTCCGCATAGAGGTGGATCCGAGCGTCACCAGCAGCAAGAGCGACATCATTGATATACACAGAGAATAGAGTCGGCCTGAGAATTGAACCCTGTGGCACCCCCATAGAGACTGCCAGAGGTCCAGACAACAGGCCCTCCGATTTGACACATTGAACTCTATCTGAGAAGTAGTTGGTGAACCAGGCGAGGCAGTCATTTGAGAAACCAAACCAAGCATGGGCAAGTTGCAGCGGAGGGTGCAGAGCTGGTGGCCGGGGTAGTGGTAACCAGGTGGAAAGCATGACCAGCCGTAGCAAAATGCTTGTTGAAATTCTCGATTATTGTAGATTTATCGGTGGTGACAGTGTTTCCTAGCCTCAGTGCAGTGGGCAGTTGGGAGGAGGTGCACTTATTCTCCATGGACTTTACAGTGTCCCAAAACCTTTTGGAGTTAGTGCTACAGGATGCAAATGTCTGTTTGAAAAAGCTAGCCTTTGCTTTCCTAACTGATTGTGTATATTGGTTCCTGACTTCCCTGAAAAGTTGCATATCGCGGGGGCTGTTCGATGCTAATGCAGTACGCCAATGTACATGTAACCAGGTCAAAAATCCGAACTACGGTTTGCAATGCTCCCAAGTAAATGGAGCTTGCGAGAAGAGCCCTGTTGCTTCAGTCTATTTGGCGTGGGAGATGTGGGGACCCGGTGTCCAAGTACGCTACACGTAGTTACAGTGAGGGAAAAAAGTATTTGATCCCCTGCTGATTTTGTACGTTTGCCCACTGACAAAGAAATGATCAGTCTATAATTTTAATGGTAGGTTTATTTGAACAGTGAGAGACAGAATAACAACAAAAAAATCCAGAAAAACGCATGTCATAAATGTTATAAATTGATTTGCATTTTAATGAGGGAAATAAGTATTTGACCCCCTCTCAATCAGAAAGATTTCTGGCTCCCAGGTATCTTTTATACAGGTAACGAGCTGAGATTAGGAGCACACTCTTAAAGGGAGTGTTCCTAATCTCAGTTTGTTACCTGTATAAAAGACACCTGTCCACAGAAGCAATCAATAAATCAGATTCCAAACTCTTCACCATGGCCAAGACCAAAGAGCTCTCCAAGGTTGTCAGGGACAAGATTGTAGACCTACACAAGGCTGGAATGGGCTACAAGACCATCGCCAAGCAGCTTGGTGAGAAGGTGACAACAGTTGGTGCGATTATACGCAAATGGAAGAAACACAAAATATCTGTCTCCCTTGGCCTGGGGCTCCATGCAAGATCCCACCTCGTGGAGTTGCAATGATCATGAGAACGGTGAGGAATCAGCCCAGAACTACACGGGAGGATCTTGTCAATGATCTCAAGGCAGCTGGGACCATAGTCACCAAGATAAAAAATTGGTAACACACTACACCGTGAGGGACTGAAATCCTGCAGCACCCGCAAGGTCCCCCTGCTCAAGAAAGCACATATACAGGGCCGTCTGAAGTTTGCCAATGAACATCTGAATGATTCAGAGGAGAACTGGGTGAAAGTGTTGTGGTCAGATGAGACCAAAATCGAGCTCTTTGGCATCAACTCAAC